ATGGTGACCCACTAGGAAGAAGCCACATTTGCATAATAAAAGACTAGGGTAGGAGGGCCAGTCTTTTTGTGGGCTATGCAAATGGCACACCTGGTCAAACCAATCCCCTGGACCCCATGTAAATCAATCACTGGCTCCTCAAGCCTCTGCATAAAATTGATTATGTAAGACTTGGAACCAACCCAAATGCCCATCAGTGATAGACTGGATAAAGAAAATGTGGCATATATACACCATGGAATACTACGCAGCCATAAAAATGGATGAGTTCTTGTCCTTTGCAGGGACATGGATGAAGCTGGAAACCATCATTCTCAGGAAACTAACACAAGAACAGAAAGCCGAATACCACATGTTCTCACTTATAAGTGGGAGTTGAACAATGAGAACACATGGACACAGGGAGGGGAACACCACACACTGGAGCTTGCTGAGGAGTAGGGGGCAGGGGGAGGGATAGCATCAGGAGAAATACGTAATGTAGATGATGGGTTGATGGGTGCAGAAAACCACCATGGCTCATGTATACGTATGTAACAAACCTGCATGTTCTGCACATGTACTCCAGAACTTAAAGTATAATTGAAGAAAAAAAAAGAAAGAAAAAAAATTAATTGCGTTCTGTCACAAACCGGAGACCCTTTCTTGGGCGACCTGCTTTCTCACCTTGAGGAAGGCCTTTCTCTCTCTTCTTTGTATATTAAACTGTCCATTCCTAAACCCACCTCTCATGTGTGTCCATGTCCCGAATTCTTTCTTGACTGAGACAAAGAAACAGGGTACATACCCCAGACAATGGAGCCATTTTACTTTCCTCCTTTTCTTCCTGCTCCTCCTCTTTCTTCTTCTTCAAAAGACAGGGTCTCACTCTGTCACTCAGACAGTAGTGCAATGGAGTGATCACGGCTCACTGCAGCCTCAACCTCTTGGGCTCAAGCCATCCTACCCCTTCAGTCTCCTGCGAGTAGCTGGGACTACAGGAACTCAGCACAAAGGGTTCCCCTGCCCACAAGCCCTTCTCCAGCTGACCTGCCTGGGGAACCCTGGCTCATTCTGCCAGCTCCCCCTTGCCTCCTCCCTGCAATTTCTATGCAGCCTCCATCTGTGCTCATCTCCTCTATCCCCTGAGAATCAGAGTCTCTGGAGGCCACGGCCTGCGTCCACTTTGCTGCTGGGTTCCCGGACCTACCAAAATGACAGAACAGGGACAGGGACATTTTAATGTCTTAAATACAACTGAGACCCCCCTCAAACCTGCCAAAAGGTCCAGGGGCCTCCGAGGACTCCTGAGCTAAATCTCTGTCAGGCTCCCACCAATGCAGAATCGGCCTTCTTCCCTGGTTCTGAGCTGCTCCCTGGTAGAAGGAAGGCCGCTGAGCCATCCTCTCTGCTCTGACCAGCACTCCCCCATCCTCCCTCCAGTCCAGCCCCATTTCACCCCTCCTGCCTGAGGTCAGCCTCCCAGACCCTCCACAGCCACCTCCCAGGATCATGCCCATCTCAGATGGACAAGACATCTAAGTGTTGACCTTCCCATAGCCTCCCTCCAACCCCTAAGTCATTGCCCAGAATGCAGAGGTGACCTCTCAGAGTCCATGTCTCATCACGTCACCAACACCCCATACACTTCCCCATATCTCCCACCATGGAGTCCACACTCAGTGACAGGACACACAACAAGCAGGACCCAGCCAGCCAAACTCAGGACCCGATGCCCTGCTCTCCTTCAGTGCCCCCTGGCTTTCCACTACACTGGTCCCATCTCCTAGGATTCTTCTTGTTTCTGACCCCTGCCAGGGTGGTTCAAATGCCTGATTATCCATTCTCCTTCTCCAAATCAAGAGTGAACCCTCAGTCCCCCTATTTCCTCCTCTTCCATCCATAATTTATCCCATACTTGCCCTGAGGCCAGTGATCAGGTCGCCACCTTCCTGTTGGTCTCCTGCATGGGCTCTGCATGACTTTACTAGACACCAAGTCACATTGGTGGAGTTCAGAGGACATTGGCCCCTGTGCAGAAAATCCGGTGAGAGAGAGACTGGAGTGGGAGGCTGAGGTGGGGAATCTTCCATTCAAGCCAATGGTGATGAGGATTTCCTGGTGCCCCTCAGCCAAATCTCCCACCCTACCTGGCCCAGCCTGGCTCTCACTGGTATGCAGACCTACAGCCTGGGTGGCAGCCACATCACTGAAGAATTGGCCCTCAGCCAGGGGTGATTTTCCATGATTAGGTTTTCTCTCATTAGAGTTGTTATGAACAACAAATTAGAAAACTTAACAGAAATGAATAAATTTCTGGAAAAATGAAACCTCCCAAGATTGAACCAAAAAGAAATCAAACTCCTAACAGACAATGATTAGTAACAAATTAAGTTTGTAATAAAATGTCTCCTATCAAAGAAAAGTCCAGACTCTGATGGGTTCACTGCCGAATTCCACCAATTACTTAGGAGGAACTAATAGCAATTCTTCTAAAACTCTTCCAGAAAATCCTTTTCTGAGTAGGGAAGAGTAGGAAATTCTTCCAAATTCAGTTAACAAGTCCAGCACCATCCTGATATTGAAACCACAGAAGGGCACAACAACAAAAAGAAACCTATAGGCCAATGATATGGTTTGGCTGTGTCTCCACCCAAATCTCCTCTTAATTCTAGTTTCCATAATCCCCACGTGTTGTGGGAAAGACCCAGTGGGTGGTAACTGAATCATGGACATGGTTAATTTCATGCTGCTGTTCTCATGCTTGTGAGTGAATTCTCACGAGATGATGGTTTTATTTCGGGTTTTTCCTCCTTTTGTTCCACACTTCTCCACCCTACCAGCATGTGAAGAAGGATGTGTCTGCTTTCCCTTCTGCCGTGATTGTAAGTTTCCTAAGGCCTCCCAGCGATGCATAACTGTGAGTCAATTAAATCTCTTTCCTTTATAAATTACCCAGTCTCAGATATACCTTTACTAGGAGTGTGAGAACGAACTAATACAGCCAATATCCCTGATAAATGTAGATGCAAACACTCTTCACAAAATACTAGCCAATCAAATTCAGCAGCACATTAAATGACATCCCATGGCCAAGTGGGATTTAACCCAGGGATGTAGGGATAGTACCAGATGCATAAATCAATAAATGTGACATATCACATCAACGGAAGGAGTACGAGAACCATAGGATCATCTTAGCAGGTACAGAAAAAGCATGACAAAATTCAACAGTCCTTCATGATTAAAAACTCTTAGCAAACTGGGCATAGAAGGAATGTAGCCCAACACAATAAAGGCAATGTATGGCTAACCCAGAGCCGACATCACACCGAATAGGGAAAAATTGAAAGCTCTTTCTCTAAGATCTGGAACAAGACACGAACGCCTGTTTTCATCACTTTTATTCAACATAGTAGTGGAAGGCCCAGCCACAGCAATTAGTTAAGGGGAAGAAATGAAATAAAGGGCACCCAGACTGGAAAGGAGGATGTCACATTGTTTCTGCTTGCAGATGACATGGTTTTACATATAGAAACCCTAAAAGTACCATAAAAAAACACTTAGACTTCATAAACAAATTGGTTAAAGATGCAGGACACAGGCGGGGCGCGGTGGCTCACGCCTGTAATCCCAGCACTTTGGGAGGCTGAGGTGGGTGGATCACGAGGTCAAGAGATCGAGACCATCCTGGTCAACATGGTGAAACCCCGTCTCTACTAAAAATACAAAAAATTAGCTGGGCACGGTGGCGCATGCCTGTAATCCCAGCTACTCAGGAGGCTGAGGCAGGAGAATTGCTTGAACCCAGGAGGCGGAAGTTGCAGTGAGCCGAGATAACGCCATTGCACTCCAGCCTGGGTAACAAGAGCGAAACTCCGTCTCAAAAAAAAAAAAAGATGCAGGACACAAAAGCAACATATTAATATGATTATCATTCCTATACATCAAAAATGAATCTGGAAAAAATAAAGTGAAAAAGAAATCCCATGTAAAATACTACTGAAGAAAAAGTGCCTCAGAATAAATAAAAACAAAAAGGTCAAAGATCTCTCCTAAAAACCTCTAGAACATTGAGAAAACAAATTGAGGAAGACACTGAGCAATGGAAAGATATCCCATGTTCATAACTGGAAGAAACACCACTGTGAAAATGACCATGTTACCAAAAGCAATCTGCAGATCCAATAAAATTCCTATCAAAATATCAGCGATATCGTCTAGAAACAGAAAAAATAATTCCAAAATTCATAGAAAACCACAATAGGCTCTGAAGAGCCAAAGCAATCCTAATCAAAAAGAACAAAGCTAGAGGTATAGCCTGACTTGACTTCAACATAGACAACACAGCTACACTAAACAAAACAGCATGGTACTGGTATCAAAACAGACACATACACCAGTGAAACTAAATAGATAATCCAGAAATACATCCACATGTTTACAACCAATTGATTTTCTTTCTTTCTTTTTTTTTTTTGAGACGGAGTTTTGCTCTTGTTACCCAGGCTGGAGTGCAATGGCACGATCTCGGCTCACTGCAACCTCCGCCTCCTGGGTTCAGGCAATTCTCCTGCCTCAGCCTCCTGAGTAGCTGGGATTACAGGCACGCGCCACCGTGCCCAGCTAATTTTTTTGTATTTTTAGTAGTGACGGGGTTTCACCATTTTGACCAGGATGGTCTTGATCTCTTGACCTCGTGATCCACCCACCTCGGCCTCCCAAAGTGCTGGGATTACAGGCTTGAGCCACCGTGCCCGGCCATTTCTAGTGTTCTAAAGGATTGTAGGGTGACTGTAACACACAATTTACTACACATTTTTAAATACCTAGACAAGCAGATACTGCATGTTCCTAACACAAAGTAATAATCAATGTTTGAGGAGGTGTTTGTGCCAATCTCCCTGCTTTGGTCATTACACATTGCACACATGTACTGAAATATCACACAGGGTCCCCCAAATACATACAATTATTACTGTGTCCATGTAAAATAATGAAACAAAAGAAAAGAAAAACAGTTTAATATCTGCAATGAGCTACAGTTTAATATCTGTAATGAGCATAGATTTTAAAATATTTAATAAAATAGTAGAAAATCAAGTGCAAACACATTTAACGAAATTATACATATGACCAAGTAGAATTTATTCCTGAAATAAAAGGATAGTTCTGCTGGGAGCGGTGGCTCACGCCTGTAATCCTAGCACTTCGGGAGGCCAAGGTGGGTGGATCATCTGAGGTCAGGAGTTCAAGACCAGCCTGGCCATCATGGTGAAACCCCATCCTAAAATAAATAAAAATAAATGAATAAATAAATAAAATAAAAGGATAGTTCAACATAGGACAAGTCAATCAATGTGACATACCACATTAGCAGAGTGAAGAATATAAACCACAGGATCATCTTAAAAGATGCAGAGAAAGCACTTGATAATGCTCAACATCCATTCATATTAAAACCATCAACAAAACAGGTATTGAAGAAACTTACCTCAACACAAATATGGTCAGTATGTAAAAAACCCACTGCTAACATTATAATCAATAAAGAGAAATGGAAATTCTTTCCTGTAAGATCAGGAACAAGATAAAGATGCCCACTCTTACAACTTGTATTTAACATGGTATTGGAAGCCCTACCCAGAACAGTGAGGCAAGAAAAGGCATCTAAATCAGAAAACAATGAAGTAGAATTATATCTCTTAGAAGATCACATGATGTTGGCTGGGCGCAGTGGTTCACGCCTATAATCCCAGCACTTTGGGAGGCTGAGGTGGGCAGATCACCTCAGCCTCCCAAAGTGCTGGGATTATAGGCGTGGCCAGGAATTTGAGACCAGCCTAGCCAAAACATGGTGAAACCCCTTCTCCACTGAAAATACAAAAATTAGCCAGGCCTGGTGGGGCGCACCTATAATCCTAGCTACTCAGGAGGCTGAGGCAGGAGAATCGCTTGAACTAGCTGGGTGGATGTTGCAGTGAGTCAAGACTGCACCACTGCACTCCAGCCTGCACACAGAGCAACACACTATTTGAAAAAAAAAAGAAAAAAAGGTCACGTGTTATATGTAGAAACCCCCAAAGACTCCACACATACACAATTATAAACTAAGAAACAAATTTAGTACTGTTGCAAGGTACAAAATAAACCTACAAAAATCATAAATGTTTCCGTATGTAACAATGAACTATTCAATAAGGAAAATATGAAAACAATTACATTTGCAATAACAACAAAAGGATAAAATACTTGGAGTCGGGAGCCGTGGCTCACACCTGTAATCCCAGCACTTTGGGAGGCCGAGGCTGCTGGATCGAGACCATCCTGGTCAACACGGTAAAACCCCATCTCTACTAAAAATACAAAAAATTAGCTGGGCATAGTGGCGCGTGCCTGTAATCCAAGCTACTCAGGAGGCTGAGGCAGGAGAATTGCCTGAACCCAGGAGGCGGAGGCTGTGGTGAGCTGAGATCATGCCATTGCACTCCAGCCTGGGTAACAAGAGCGAAACTCCGTCTCAAAAAAAAAAAAAAGAATAAAATACTTGGGATAAACTAAGCCAAAGAGGCGAAAGACTTGTATGCCAACAACTATAAAACATTGATGAAGAAAATTAAAGAAGACACAGAGCAATGGAAAGACCTTGTTCATTCACAGATTTGAAGAATTAATCGAGTTAAAATATCCATACTACCAAAGAATCTACAGATTCAAGCCAATCCCTATCAAAATCCTGATGGCATTTTTGATAGAATAGAAATAAAATGCTAAAATGTATTTGCAATCACACACACAAAAAAGCCAAAATAGACAAAGCAATCCTGGCCAAGAAGACGAAGCTGGAAGAATCAACCTACAGAAGGAGAGACAGTATTCGAGAACCATGTTTGATAAGGGGTCAATATCCAAAATATATAATTAATTCATGTAACTCAATAGCAAAAATAACAAACTCCAATTGAGAATAGACAAAGGACCTACATAGACATCTTTTCTAAAAAGACATACAAATGGCCGACAGATGCTTGAAGAGGTGTTCAACATCACCAATCATTAGAAAAATGCAAACCCAAAGCATCAACCGGGACATTACCTTATTTGGTCTAAAAAGGGAAGGAACCCTCAGTTCTGGGTGCCCACCCCTTTCCCAGAAAACTTATGAATAATCCACCCCTTGTTTAGCATAGAATCAAGAAGTTACAGTAAGGATAAGCAGCTGAGCAGCTTATGCCGCTGCTCTGCTTATGGAGTGGACATTCTTTTATTCCTTTCTTTTTTTTTTTTTGATGGAGTTTCGCTCTTGTTATCCAGGCTGGAGGGCAATGGCTCGATCTTGGCTCACCACAACCTCCACCTCCTGGGTTCAGGCAATTCTCCTGCCTCAGCCTCCTGAGTAGCTGGGATTACAGGCACTCGCCATCATGCCCAGCTAATTTTTTGTATGTTTAATAGAGACAGGGTTTCACCATGTTGACCAGGATGGTCTCGATCTCTTGACCTCGTGATCCACCAGCCTCGGCCTCCCAAAGTGCTGGGATTACAGGCGTGAACCACCGCACCCAGCCTATTCCTTTACTTTCTTAGTCAATTTGCTTTCACTTAATGGACTTGCCCCAAATGCTTTCCTTTATGAGATCCAAGAACCCTCTCTGGGGGTCTAGTATAGAACCCCTTTCTGGTAAGCCCCTCTGCGAAGGCTGACCCACCCCCCTAACTCTGATTGCTCTGCAGCTGCATTCCTGAGCTCCTATCTACGTGCTACAATTAAGCAAAGCCTGATTACAGTCATCTGGGCAGCTTTGGGGAGGCCAGGGAAAACAAATGTTTGTTATCCATATTTGTAAATTCCTGTTTGACATGTATCTGTAAAAAATCCTGGTTTCTCTCTTTTTTAAAAAAAAACTGCTGCCACAAAAGTCACAGGATGATGAACTGTAGAGCTGTCACAAGTTGACAAACTACCTCTGTGCCCATTATGAGTGGATAGATGACCTCAGTCCTGAAACTCCCTTATGCCCCTCTCGCCCCATATAAACCCCTTGTTTTGTAAGCTTGGGCTGCCTACTCTGATTGTTACAGAGCAGCCAGCAGGTTAATAAAACTTGCTTGCCTGACTTGGGACATATTCTCCTTTCTCTCAGCCACCCTTACACTTACCTTGGCCATGGTACTGGCATAGGAAGTGCACAATCTGGTCATGTCACGTAGGTGAGGATACCTGTGTGCCAGGTAACCTCAGGTGGACATGGTGGCACTTGTGGGGCAGTCCTGTAACCTGCAGTATGGTGGGTGGGATGGACCATACAGGCAGGAACTACTCCTGATGGCAGTTGAGGGCCCACGTGTGTACTGGGTGGGGGCCGATGGGAGTGACCGGTGACTGGCTGGGCACAGGCAGACGAGTGACAGCCATACAAACCCCACCACTAAGCGCGTCCCTCCCAGGGCAAAGCAGCTGGGAGACCCAAGGGGCCTCAGGTCCTCAGGAAGCCTCCTGGCCCTCTCTGCCCTCAGAGGACCCCACCTCCTTCTAGCTGTGGGAGTGCGAGGGGGACACAGTGATCTGGGGTCCCGAGAAGGAAGGTAGATGGAGGGAAGGCGGCCCTCTGCTCCCAGATCCTGCTGCTCAGCCCCCTGCGGCCTTCCTGGAGCCCACAGCTTTGAGCTGCGGCCTCCCAGCCTCCGTCCCCAGGATGACGCCCAATAGTCTTTTCCACTGTTGGTGGCTTTTCCCTTTGGGGAGGGTCCCCAGATTGTGGAAAGTGTGGAAGGCTCCCCGGTCCCTGTCCCGCCGGGCCCCCACTCCTGTCCTCCTCATCTCTCTCTGTCTCTCTCAGAGGCAGAGGCAGAGGCAGAGGCAGAGGTGGAGGTGGAGGCAGCATTAAATTAAAATTTAATTTAAATGTTAAAAAGGAAGTAAACTGCCCAAATACACACCAACAGTAGACTGTTCCGCTTTGCATACAGAGGTCCGTTGACCCTTTGGGTGGGCCGGGCAAGGTCAGGGCCTAAGAAGAGCCTCTGGGGAGAGGGGGGCTCACGCTCTCATGACTGCGGGAGGAGTGACTCCTCCCAGGATGAGGGTCTCTGTCCTCCTATGCTCACTCAAATTCAGTATTTCCAAGTCCTCCCAGGGGGCGTAACGCACATCAGAACGGCCGTCATTAGTGTCACAGATACGTGTCCTCATGCATTTCCAGGAAATCTCCGTGGCTGGCGAACTACAGTTGGTATAGCCCAGCCTCCGGGCGTTCTGTGAGCTGTAGTCTCGGTAAGTGGGTTCCAAAAAAATCTCAAAGATCATATAAGGTGGACAGCGTAGCAGCGGGGTTTGGGAAGACGGGAGCCCCTTTGTTAGCAAAGGCGAGTGCTCGCGCGGTACCAGCAAGCGCTCGCTGCCCACGCCCTGGGAGAAAAACGTTTGTGTGAACGCACGAATGGCCGGAAGAGTTTGCCACGGCCGCAGGGTTTTCTGGGAAGTGTAATTTCTTGGTCTGGGCGTCATTGTACTTACAAGTAGAGGGTGGCCCTTGGTTCCAAGGTGTATCGTTCACCAGAGGACGACTGTGTGCCTTAGGACACTTCGCGGGTGGTCCTAGCTGGCCGGCTATGGAATAACAGCCCCAGGCGGTTTACTTTCTTACGAAGCCGAGACCGATTTGCCCGCGGCCGCAGAGACTCCTGGGAAGTGTGGTCTTCCGAGGCCGGCGGTTCGCGGCACTGGGAACTTTGGTCCCCAGCGCGGATGATCCTGGGAAATGTCTGTCGGCCCTGGGCGGCGCTCTGGGTCCATCCCGCGGTAGCCTCGGTCCTGGTGGCGACTTCCTGGCTCAGGAACGATTCTGAGCAGTGTTGTTCCCGGAGGTCTGCAGCCGTTGCCCGCTCACCAGCGACGCTGCGATTCAGGTCCGCAGAGGTGCGGGTTCGGGGCGCCTGCGGGGACGGTGAGGCCCCGCTGAGGACTCCGGCAAGTGTGGGTCCCGGGGGCGGCGGCGGGGCTCGGGCCCTGGGTCGGCCCGCGGTGTGACCCCGGCTGGGGTCTTGGCTTTTCCTGGCCTTCGTGTCCTGCTGTGTAAACACGGGGTGATGACGGCCCCGACCTCTTGGCGCGGTTGTGAGAGCGAAGTGAGCGCGAGAGCAGACGCCAGCCACAGTTGTTTTGGGTTATGTAGCCATGAAGCCGGCGCTTTGCAGTTGTGTAGCCTTGAACAAATGGGTTCGGTATCTTGGAATTTCGGTTTTGTCATCGTTTAAAAAAGAAATCTGGAATAATGTGAATGCCCATCGTGCATAGTGGTGAAGATGAAATAGCTGATAAAGTTACCGTTGTTTTATGAGGCTTTTATGTACAGAATAATTGATTTTCCTCGCAAGTGGCACCTGGTAAATTGCTTCCCCTTGCGGAGAAACACCCTGTTGGTTCCCAGGGAGAGATTAGCGCCCCGGAGAGTGATTACCAAGGTGCTTTTCCATTACGGGGTGTCACAGGTGCTGCAAGATAAGCCTGGGTTTTTAAGACTGCTTTTTCCTGCCCTTCTGTGCCCTTAGGACACTGCCCATCTCTAAGAGCCTGGAAAGGGGACTCTGTTGGCTATCGGAACTTGCAGAGTAATGTCTCAGGTAAGTCAGTGTGTCCCGAAATCTTCCTGAAACACTTTATCAGGACTTTCTGATCAAGTCCTGATAAACACTTTCTGCTAGAAGACTTTCTAGTCTTGCCAAAATTTTAAAACTACCATTGACAATGCAGCTTTGGAATATAAGGTTATTTGCTTTATGGTTGTCAAAACTGTACCATGTGGTCTCAAGTCAAGAGATGTTTGTAGTCATCCTTGATTCTTCCCTTTCACTTAAAACTCATATTCAGATCCTCTAGTTGGAGCTAAGTTACACACCGTATAGAGAATCTGACCATTAGTTACCCCATCACCACCAACACCACTGTCACCCCAATCCAAGCCACCTGTATTATCACAGTAGCCTCCTAACTGGATTTCCTGCATCCACCCTTAACCCTCATCAGTCTGTTCTCAGTACAACTGTCACCGTGATCCTATTGTTATATAAATTCCTGTCATTTCTTGATCTAAAAATTTTCAGTAGCTCTAACCCAAAGTTCTGCAGTGACCTGTTTGTACAACTAAGCTATTACCTTTCTCTGCCTCCTCATCCCTGTGAGCTCCAGCCACTGTCACCAGTTGCTGTGCCATCCATGTGGAATATTCTTCACCCAGATATGCACAAGCTTGCATTCTTATCTCCTTCGTGTGTTCGCTCGGTGGTGAATTCTCAGAAAAGCTTCCCTGAATGCCGGTTTGCAATTGCAGTCACCTTCCCTGACCTAGCACCTCCACTCCTCCATCACTGCTTAGTTGTTTTCCACGGCTTGTGTCACTCACTAGCTGATGTACTGTGTGTTCAGTAGATGTATGTGCTCATTGTCTCTTCCTGGTGGGAGGAATATTTTTTCTTTTTTGTTGACTGTTATAGCTTCAGTACCCAGAGTGGTACCTGGCACCAAGTAGATGCTTAGTTAGTAACTGTGGAGTGAATAAGATAAGTAACGAAGAACTGGTGGGGCAGAATCATGGCATGGAAGGTGAAGCTTGCACAGGAGGGGATGTGGGTGGCAGGTGTACCTGTTGGGTGAAGTCTTTCTTAGAAAAATTAGATAATTAGAATTGAAAAACTGGTGTGGTGGTACATGCTTGTTGTGCCAGCTACTCAGGAGGCTGATGAGGTAGGAAGATTTCTTGAGCCCTGTGGTACGAAGCTGCAGTGGCTATGATTATGTCACTGTACTCCAGCCTGGTGACAGAGCAAGATGCTGTCTCTTAAAAAAAAACAACAAAAGTAAAGGCTAAATTGAACTAATGCTAAAATCATTCATTGGTTCATCCTCTAAACACTTATGAAGTACCTGTTAGGAAAAGTTGTACGTGGATTTCGGTGTACACTGACACACAGGACTTCATGATCCAGTGCAGTATTGTCTAAGAGAACTTTCTGCAGTGGCGGAAGTGTTCTCCATGTGTACTGATCATACGGTAGCCATCAGCCCCATGTGACGATTGAGTACTTGAACTATGGCTTAAGCAATGGAGGACATGAATTTTAAATTTTCTTTAATTTTACATTTTAATTCATTTAAATGTATGTAGCCAAATTGGCTAGTGGCTACTGTATTGAGGATTGCAGCACTGGTAGGAAAGTAAGAAAGCATTAGACATTATAACAAATGTTAGGACGGATATCCTAGGTTCTTTTGGGGACAGAGATGGGTGAATACTGCAGGCTGCCCGGGTAACTGAGGGGGAAGAAAGAAGCGTCCCTGGCTCTAACTTGTAATGACTGGTTTGTCATAAAGCTATGAGAAATGTTATTTTTATTTGGGATAAAGGCAGTTAACTAACACAGTGACAACTCCAATTAACAGGTGAATTTGGGATAAATTATGTGTAGCAAATTGAACTATCAGGTCTTACTTGATTATCTGGAAACTTTATGTATTGGATTGTATTTGCTTGGCTATATAAAAGGATGAGATTTCTTCCTGTCCTTTAATCTCATTAGTAGATTGCTTGCGAAGTGCATCAAGGTCTGATTTAATGCTTATTCAGAAATAAAAGTGTTTTCTTTTTTTTTTTTCTTCTACATTCGTGGAGAGGATTTTCTGCCCTTGCCAGGAGATTTGAATTTTATTTTCCCAACACCTGGCAAAAGTAAATTCTGCCTTTAAAACCAAAGACCACTGTCACTGGTGAACATGCATATAAAATATCCAAATAAAGTAATAAATACTGAATTAAGTCTCTGAGCTAAAAAGTAACCACAGTCAAGCAGTCTGTTTCACAAATCAAAGACAGTAATAATACTGTATTAAATGGATGTATTTTTTACACATATTATAATTTGACTAACCAATAAACTATTGAATATTTAAGCTTCTAAAGTTTTACTATGTTAAGTAACATTGTGAAATGAGTACTATTACGAGGAATTCTAAGCATATCTGTGAGCATTTCCTTAGAATATTTTCTTTGAAATGTACTCTTTTAATTTTTCCCTTTACTTTCAGACTTAAGGACTATCTATGGCAGTGGTCCCCAACTTTTTTGTACCAGAGATAGGTTTTGTAGAAGACAGTTTTTCCACAGAAGTGGAAGGTGGTGGTTTAGGGATGAAACTGTTTCACCTCAGATCATCAGGCATTAGTTCAGTTCACATGAGGAATAGACAGCCTCGATCCCTTGCATGCGCAGTAGGGATTGTGATCCTATGAGGATCTAATGCCACAGCTGATCTGACAAGAGGCGGAGCTTGGGTGGTAATGCTCATTTGCCTGCCACTCATCTCCTGCTGTGTGGCCCAATTCAGGCGGTTAGGGACCCTGATCTATGGCATGAAACCATCCTTCAGTCTTTTTGCCCAGGGGTCTCATATTTTAATTGTTAAATGTCTATCAGTACAAAGTTTAAGTGTACATCATAAATATATTTCTTTTTTTGTTTATGAATCAGTTTTGTGTATATTTAAGTTCATTGGTGCTGCTGTAACAGTATCATAGACTGAGTAATTTATCAACAATAGAAATTGACTTTTCGTGGTTTTAGAGCCTGGGAAGTCCCAGATCAAGGGGCAGGCATCTGGCAAGGGCCTTCTTGCTGTGTCCCTTTATGCTGGAAGGGCGGATAGGAGAGAAAGGCAAAAGGGGGCCCAAACTCATTTTTAAATAAGGAACCCACTCTTAATGATGATGACATTAATCCATTCATGAGGGTAGAGTCCTCAAGTCCTAATAATCTCGTAAGTTCTCACCTCTTAAAACTGTTACAATGGCAATTAAGTTCAATACATGCTTTTTGGGGGTCACAATCAAACCATAACAGTGTATATCTATCAGTTTTTACTGTAAAGGTTTTTTTTTTTTTTTTTTTGAGATAGAGTTTTGCTCTATTACCCAGGCTGGAGTGCAGTGGAGTGATCTTGGCTCATCACAACCTTCGCCTCCCGGGTTCAAGCCATTCTGCCTCAGCCTACCAGGTATTTGGGATTCCAGGTGTGAGACACTACACCCAGCTACCCATTTTTTGTGAGCCTTAGTGAATCATCCTGAGTATCCCATGTGAGGGACAATCACTTTAGCCTCATTTTTTAATTACTTAACTAGCACTTAAGCTGTAACAGATATAACTAAATACTTGACTCCGTGCTGTCAATTGTCAAATGCTGATTTTTAAAAGTTTGTGTAATTCTATAGCTTTTAGCAAAATTAACTCTTCTGAAGCAAAGCTCTCATATTTGTTTCTCATCCTTACTGTAATAATAAGTCCAAGCACATAACCGTCCCCCTTACTGTATGCTAATTCCATCTATATAACTGTCCTGTTATTACTTAACCAAGATCACAGTCCCAATCATTGTCACAACTCCTGAGTTTTGTTCCATTTCTTCCACAACCAGCCTAATTTTACCCCTCTTCAGTGACAGAAGAGGCCTGCGCTATGGTTGAACCTAAATATATTTGCTATTTCAGGTGACATTTAGTGATGTGGCTATAGACTTCTCTCATGAAGAGTGGGAATGGCTAGATTCTGCTCAGAGGGACTTATACAAGGATGTGATGGTCCAGAATTATGAGAACCTGGCCTCTCTAGGTAAGGACATCACCCCTTCCACTCCAATAAGGAACACCTTTCGTTTGCCGCTCTGAATTGCTGGAGATCCTCCTAAGTAAATGGCTGAATTTCTGTACCATGTTTCCAAGGAAATGTATAGCTCTGTTGTGCCCGGCCTGAAGCTTATCTTTCCATGTCAGTGACACCCTTCATCCCTTCCTGTGGTCTCTTGTGATGGCCTCTCATAATAGAGGACCGCAGCTTACGCAATTCTATGTTCTTCCTGTAAGCAGGTCTTTCCATAACTAAGCCACATGTGATCACGCTATTGGAGGATGGAAAAGAGCCCTGGATGGTGGAGGAAAAAATGTCCAAAGGTGTGACTCCAGGTGAGTCATGGTGAACGAGACAAGGGAAGTTTCTGTTAAAGATGCTTATAGTGAGGGTGGAGGCATTTTAGGGATACTGTCTTCAAAGATCTCCGATATAAATGAAAACTGAGGGGTATTTAGCTTAGCTTTTCCAAACAGTTGTTCCTCTATCCCAAATTATTATCTGTACCACTCATGTCATCTAATCAAGGTTAGAGGTTTTTGCCACCATAATAATTCAAATTGTTACTCTATTCAGACAAAGTAAGGCAAATTATTCCTTCTTAAATCTACTTAAGGAAAAACATACTGATTGTTTTGGGCTAAGAAAAGCTGTCAGTTAGATAGGAAATCACTTTTCTAAAGTTGAGCTTTGTAGATGAAATATGAACATATTAGAGGAAGTAAGGAATGTATAAAAATGTTTCTAGAAAAAATATTTTCTAATGTCCAGTAAATGACGATTCATATAGTTTCTTCATAACTTCAGAAAGCCCAAATCTTTGCCAGCTATAAAGAACATTTATTTTGTTTTAACTGAAACTGTTTAATGTAGTAATATCAATTCTGTCTTTTAAGCATGTTAATCTGGCAGCAAACTGAAATTAATTGAATGTTGGAGAAAAAGGCTATGAGACAAAATGCAATGTTTTATACATGAATATACACACAAAATGATGGCCTGGAATCCAGAATGCCTTCCACATTTTATTTCTGATCGTTTCCTTTTTTTGCATACTATTTCATCCATTACACATATTTTACCCATTTTATATATTTTACCTATGTCTGTTATCACATTCTGTTTCTGCTTCTGTGAACTTTGTATTCTCTACTTCCCTTCAGCATTGTTCAGGAATCATTGAAATACTGGAGTTGTCAAAACTATGTGTTTTTTGGGGCCGGGCGCGGTGGCTCAAGCCTGTAATCCCAGCACTTTGGGAGGCTGAGGCGGGTGGATCACGAGATTGAGACCATCCTGGTCAACATGGTGAAATCCTGTCTCTACTAAAAATACAAAAAATTATCTGGGCATGGTGGCGTGTGCCTGTAATCCCAGCGACTCAGGAGGCTGAGGCAGGAGAATTGCCTTAACCCAGGAGGCGAAGGTTGCGGTGAGCCGAGATCGTGCCATTGCACTCCAGTCTGGGTAACAAGAGCGAAACTCCGTCTCACACACTTACACACAAAAACTATGTGTTTTCTGGGGGCTTCATTTCTAATCCAGTTCTCTAATTCCACTGTAGTAGTTTCTTTTTAAGAAGTTAAAAAAAAAAAAGCAGTGCTTTGCTTTATTTCAGATTGGGAATCAAGATGGGAAAACAAGGAATTATCAACAAAGAAGGATATTTATGATGAAGATTCACCCCAAACAGTAATAATAGAAAAAGTTATAAAACAAAGTTATGAATTTTCAAATTCTAAGAAGAATTTGGAATACATAGAGAAGTTGGAAGGGAAGCATGGAAGTCAGGTGGAACATTTCAGACCAGCAACTCTCATCTCTAGGGAAAGCCCTAATGGGGACAGTGTTTACAAATACAATATTTTTAGAAGCACCTTTCATTCAAAATCTGCTTTTTCTGAACCACAAAAAATTTCTGCTGAAGGAAATCCACACAAATATGATATATTAAAGAAGAACTTATCAAAAAAGTCAGTTATAAAAAATGAGAAAATCAGTGGTGGAAAGAAACTTTTGAATTCTAATGAAAGTGGGGCAGCCTTCAACAAGAGCAAATCTGTTACCCTTCACCAGACTTGTAAGAGAGAGAAAATCTATACATGCAGTGAATGTGGGAAAGCCTTCGGCAAACAGTCAATCCTTAATCGCCACTGGAGAATTCATACAGGAGAGAAGCCCTATGAATGTCGTGAATGTGGGAAGACTTTTAGCCATGGCTCATCCCTTACACGACATCAGATAAGCCATAGTGGAGAGAAACCTTACAAATGTACTGAATGTGGGAAGGCCTTTAGCCATGTCTCATCACTTACGAACCATCAGAGCACTCACACTGGAGAGAAACCATATGAATGTATGAACTGTGGAAAGTCTTTTAGTCGTGTATCCCATCTCATTGAACATCTAAGAATTCATACTCAAGAAAAACTTTATGAGTGTCGTATATGTGGAAAGGCTTTCATTCATAGGTCATCTCTCATTCACCATCAGAAAATCCATACTGGAGAGAAGCCTTATGAATGTAGTGAATGTGGGAAAGCTTTCTGCTGTAGCTCACACCTTACTCGACATCAAAGAATTCACACTATGGAGAAACAATACGAATGTAACAAATGTCTGAAAGTCTTTAGTAGCCTCTCATTTCTTGTTCAGCATCAGAGTATTCATACTGAGGAAAAACCCTTTGAATGTCAGAAATGCAGGAAATCCTTTAACCAGCTTGAATCACTGAATATGCATTTGAGAAATCACATTAGATTGAAACCTTATGAATGCAGTATATGTGGGAAAGCCTTCAGTCACAGGTCATCCCTGCTTCAACATCACAGAATTCATACTGGAGAGAAACCTTACGAATGTATTAAGTGTGGGAAAACCTTCAGCTGTAGTTCAAACCTTACTGTCCATCAGAGAATTCATACTGGAGAAAAGCCATATAAATGTAGTGAGTGTGGGAAAGCTTTTAGCAAAGGCTCAAATCTTACTGCCCATCAAAGAATACATAATGGAGAGAAACCCAGTAGTGTGGTAAGTGTGGAAAAGCCTCTAGGCCACATGAATCACTATACGTGTTAGAAATCTTACAGAAGAGAAAATACATGAAGTAGTATTTATCAGTAAATTTCATTCATAGAGTCTCCCTTATTTAACATTAGAAAAATTTATCCTGGGGAAAGACTTATGAATGTAGTGAATATTGGAAGACTTTTAGCAAAGATGTAGACCATTTTGTTTATCAACGTTTACACTGTAGGGAAATCATGAAGACCATAAATGTGGGAAAGCATTTGTCAGTATTAATCCCTTAATTGACGTAAGTATACTCACACTAGGAAAAAACCATGTACATTTATCAAATACAGGAAAGACTATAGGCAATAGAATCTCCTACAAACACCTACAGGAGAGAAGCTGTATGGATGTAGAAAATTTGGAAATTGAGAGAACTCTTTAGTTCCAAGTACACCCCTTATTCTAGAGCAGAGAACTGAAACTGGAGAGAAATCTCATTTAAGAGACACGGCAAAGTCTTCACTGAGAGTGTTGGTCTTGCTAGACATCAGAAGATTAATGGTAGAACAACCTGACGGGTTTAGGAATTATGTGTAAATCTTTGCAGTGATGCTATTTGTAAACTGGTTTCTACAGGACAGCAAATAAACATATAATTAAATATGCATTTCTTAGAGCAGTAGCTTGAAGTTTCCCTTGAGTTCTACTTAGAAATTCTTTTTAGCTAGTGAGCATGTGAAGTTATTTAGTCACCCAGAGGAGCTAGTAAGTGTTATAATGTTGAAAATTAAAGCTGCAAAAGAAATAAAATGATGTTAATAAAAGTTTTGTATCTAATAAAATCATTTTGTATATTGCAAACTCTTTCATTGTGACTATTTCTTGCAAAAAATTTTGCTACGATTAGCCTTAGAATAGCCTTTAGTGGGAGACTAGGAAACCTAGAGAAAAATGACCTGCTCTTTGTACTAAGAATAGCAGTATTTTGATGAGGATTATTCAGAGTCAATTTACAGTAGGTTTAATTAGATACATTTCAAGAAAATTTACTCAGCATCACTCGTGTATTACACAGGGATGGGATACAGAAATCCAGTAATTCTGAACTCTAGTGGTATGTCAAAATCACTAGGAGGGCTTGTTAAAGCACAGATAACTAAGTCTGAATCCTAGAGTTTCTGTATGAGTTGATTTGAATTTGCATTTTTCATGTGTTCTTAGGTGACAATAACACTTTCCAGAAAGTACATTTTGATAACCATTGTAATAATGAACAAAACAAATGTGATCTTTTTCTCACAGTGATGTTATCTAACAAGAAAGATAGCAAATAAATTGAAATACCCATTTACAAGTGCAATGAGGACATAACCAAGAAACAGCATGCTACAAGAGATCAGAGCAGGCTCACCTAGATATAATGTTGAAATGAATCCTAAGTGATAAGTACTAATTATGTAGTGAGTACTACTCATGTAGCTGTGTGCATTCCTGCATGTGCCCGTGAGTGTGTGTATGTGGTGTGCTGGGCGTTAATTTTAGGTCATTCAGACAGTTGGGTTCTGTCATACCTGCTTCAGCTGGACTCCATGTTCCCTTGTCTAGTTTCAGATTCTGCGGCTTTGAGGTAGTACTGCTGGCAGCATCACTGCTTTCAGCAGCAGTCATTTCTCCATCCCTGGGTCATAGTTATGGGAGTTTACCTCGAAATCACTCGTCCAGAAGTGCCCTCATTATGTTTACAGTCCACCTACCAATTTTAAAAGCACGAATTTGCTGCACTGTATGTCCTGAAATAGGTAGGAGAGTTTTCATTCTCTGCACTGAACCTTGACAGATTAATTATGGATTGTAAGGAGGGAGGATGACTTCAGATATTCTAAGTTCTAGTTAAGAAATGGAACAGTCTCACTGGCCCTGTAATTAGAATCTTATCTTGTGATTAGAAAGGTAATAAAGATAAATTCGATTTGGAGTGTATGGACATTGACGCAAGTGGAGGACTGTGATATGGATTGTGTTCAGATTTTGTTCTTTCTTACAAGTGAGAGTAAGATATTTTAAAAAGGAACATTACATTATAGATATGATAATTCTGGTGTGGAACGACTAATGAAGTTTCTGACTTTAAACAAAATATATCTCCTCTGATATACGTGCTACCTTAACCGAATGCCAAAGCACAGAGGCATAGTCCAATAGCAGTTTGCAAGAGACAGTAGGTTTGGAATGGGGTGGTAAATTTTGACTGTTCTCCAGGGCTTTTATCTTTCATTTATTTTTAATCATGAAATTTATATTGAGATTCTATGGAACACTGAAGGATCTTTGAGAGATTTATGATTAAGAAAGGACAGCGTGCAGTGACTCATATCTGTAATCCCAGCACCCTGGAAGGCTGAGGCAGGAGGATTGCTTAAGGCCAGGAGTTTGAGACCAGCCTGGGCAACATAGCAAAACTCAGTCTGTTAAAAATATATATTTTTAAATTACCCAGCTGTGGGCATATGCCTGCAATCCTAGATACTCAGGAGGTTGAGCGGGGAGGGATTGCTTGAGTACAGGATTTTAAGGTCACAATGAGTTATCACACCACTGCTTTCCAGCCTGGGCAGCAGAACAACACCTTGTCTCCAATGTAAATATAATTAAGGCAGCATGATGTGGTATCAAACAGTTGTAATTATGGGTAGACTAGCTACCACATATATACTTACGGGATAACGAGAGGAGCTTTCTTTTCTCCCATTATCTGTCTGCATCTGCTGTCACAAGCAACTGGTACCACAAAGATTAGATTTTATTTGTTTCCACTACACGTAGTTTAATGCCTCCACGTCATTTTGTTATGAGAAGATTCATCAAAATACCACAGCTTTGTCATTTAAAAAGCATGGACATACATATGATAGTGCTTTACATTTCTGGATTTAAATTGCCTTCACAATACAGAAGTAGGAAAAAGAAGGCTATATTTTAAATGCAGATAGCTTTAAGAGAGCAGGAAGAGACTATTACTTTGTTAGAAGATTGGGCCAAAGTCATAATGATGTTATTGTCACTGATGTCGTATTATTTCCTCAGTCATACTTATTAACCATTTCTTGAGCATCCACTGTGGGCCTAATAGATAAGAAACACACCATACCCTTTAAGGGCTCCAAGGTGTGTGTGTGAAGAGCATTAGCTTTGGAGTTATGCTCCTGGGTTTAAATCCATGTTGCATGTATACTGGCTTTGTGTGACCAGGGACAAACTATTTCACTGTGTCATGCTTCAATAAGTTTCTCCATCTGTAAAATGGCTATTTCACAGCATTATTAAGAAGATTAAATGCGTTAATTGGTGCAAAGTGTTTACCACAATGCCTGGCCCTCAATAGCATTCAATAAGTATTAGCTATTTATTTCATCATCATCTTCTCATGGTTGCTTCAACATTCTGGTCTCAAATGTCACATCTAATCACCTGTCACTCTTATGTGTTTACTGTTTCAAATGTTTAGAAGGAGCGCTTATAAAACACCCTCGTTTCCTTACAACAGATTCTAGCGTGTCTGAGCCATTTTGAGGGAAAGAATGTTTCTTGCCCTAAATAATCTGAGGAGAAACAAAGAGGCCAGGTAGAAGATGAGATGGTAACTCAGCAGGTCTGTGGGAAGGAAGGAGGTTGCCCTACAGATGTGGAAAAGGGGCTGAGTGAAGGAGGTGTCAGGCTTCCACATGGAGGAAAGGGGAAGCTTTAGGCACTGAGACCAGAAGCCTACAGGTCTTCAACGTCATCTCTCAGTACAGAGTCCCTTGTGCTGGGTGCCACTGCCCTTTTTTTCCTGAATGGAGGTGACAGCCTGCCAGTGAAGGTCACTGATGCCTGGAAAGTCAAAGTTTCTTTGTTAGGCTTGGGCCAGTCAGATGTAATTAGAGCTCAGGTGTTGGTAAACATCTAGAAAGCACCCAGGCACATATCACTGAGCATTTCCTGGGAGCTTAATTCTTTGCTTCTTTAAACAAATTGCAATTGTGTTAGAGAAAAAACCTTTATGTGCAGAAGTAATTGATTCAAGATGCAAGACAATGACAAGGCCATATGGCCCGAGAGGTGCAGAGTGTAAGCACTCTGGCATTAGAGATAAATAGGGAAAAATTATAATGATCATAATACAATATTGTTAACAGCAGCAGCAACTGAGCCTTGGGTTTGCACTGTGTGCTGCTTTCAAACAATTAACTGTTCTCAGTTGTGGACCCAAATTCCTAGTGTGAATTCAGTCTATTGGGACTTCCGCTTACTCTATAAACTTGGGGAAGTCACTTGCTTTCCTGATTTTTCCATCAAAACAAAAATAATTGCCATCTTCCCAGGTGGTTGAGAGAATTAAAAGATTTATAACACAAGCAACAAAGTGCCTGTGTGTGGAAGTTTGCTGCTGTGTTTTTCCTGGTTTTGGTAATCTTCCCACGTACCGTAAGGTAAGTGCCATAGTCATATGGTGACTATGCTGGTGACCTGAGACTCAGGCAGCTCTAGCACGTCTCTCAGAGTCATACATCTTAGGATACAGGCTACATTTGAACATTCAGTAAAACGCCATACAATACTGCCCTCCTAGGACTGATCTCAGAAAACTGGGGTTTCTCTTGGCAACCAAACAGCCCCTCTTGCCTCCTTGAACAAAGAACGTTTCCTTGGGCCGTGCCATTTTTTCTGCCTGGAGGGTGCCACAAAGCTCATTTATTACCACGCTCACCTGCTGAGGGAGGCCTGCCCACCTTGCAAAGTTCACTACGTGTATCAAAGATGAACAAAGCTGAACATTAATGACAGTGGTGAGAACAGAGTTTAATTGGTGATAAGGATTGCAATGGGGAAAGGAATTTGGCATGAACTTAACTCAGCTTTGATATGTACAAAGGTGAATGAATATGTTAAAGGGAGGGTGGGGAAATAGGGAGCGGGTAGTGAGTAGGGGTTCAGTAGAGTCAGAAAAGCGAAAAATTACAAAGCACAGGAAGGGAGGGGGTTGGTCCATCTGGGTTTGCTACTGGCACTTTGAGTTAGGCTCCTATCCTCCCACAGAGGCTGGGAGATGGGCCTTATCTTCAGGTGTTGGCCGGAAGAAATTCTTTGGACAGCCTTGAGTTTTTTGGGCTGGCACTTTAAAAGTTATTAGAAACTGTTAGTGTTGTTCAAGTCTGAATAGGCCACAGTTGACAGGCCCATTCAGGAAGGCTCAGAGGGGCCTGGCTAGTTTGGTTGAAGAGAAAATCTTTGTCAGGTGTCACCCCAGGCTTCCCCAGCCCACTGAGGCGGAATGGTGGTGAAGAAGAAAGAACATAGGCTCAAGGGATCAAGGTACAGGGTGTGAGTTTCTGCCAAGAGTTGTGTGACCCTGAGAAGGTAACTTACGTTTTTGAAGCCTCAGGTTTCTTTTCTATAAAGCAGGAATGATAATACAACCTAACTCTGAGGAAATTGGGATTAAATGAAGTGCTACAAAAATCACCCTCAAAGCTCAATAAAGGCAGCTATTATCTTATTTTTATTTTTCATCTTTGCTTCTACACCACCCTGGAAAACCCAACCAAGTCCTGATGTCTACTTTTGTAAGTCTGCCACATTCCCGGCACAAAAATTCCAGACGATGAGAAATACTTAATCTAGAACTAGCAAGGCCAAAGCGGGGGAAAAAGACTCTCCCAGTAGGTGACATTGGTGAAGAACAGGGAAGGATGCAAGGGAGGAGAGGAGAGGCACTGCAGAGATTTGGACTCAAGTGTCCCAGGCAGAAGGAAAGACTGGGAAGTGGGAAAGAGCTTGTAATGATTAGGACAGCTTGGCAGGAGAGCAGTGAGCAAAGGAAGTTGGAGTAGTAGACAGATTTATAGGCCTAAGGATGTATTTCCCTAGAAATAGCATCCAGAGGGATGGTCCTCGCATGGTGCTGTGCACCAGGAACACACATTAGTCATCTCTGATACTCTCACCTGGAATGAATGATTGTTAATATTTCCCCTTTAAGCCTTCCTTGAGGAAAATGGAGGTGAAGGGTAGCAAGGAAACTTGCACAAAGCCACAGACCTGAGACAGGGCACAGCATGATTCAAACAGGTCTCTGGATTCTGCAGGCCATGCTCTTCCCAAGGATCTGCACATGCTGCCATACATGAATGGGGGATACTGAGAAGTTATAGTTCATACTTTCCTACCACATAACATCAATTGCCAGAAAGAGGAACTTTCTCTTGTAATACTTGATCTAAATATAGAACCCTTAACTGAGAGTGACCGTCTCAGCAGGAAGAGAAGGCCTAAAGAATCAGAGGAAGTGCTACAAAATGAAGGACATGAATAAAGGAAAAAGATGTATGAGCAAACTGAGGGTAGAAATAAAGAGATAAAATCATTTTTAAAAAGAACAAAAAAAATTCTGGATCAAAATGTACACTAATGGAAACAAAAAATATGAATACAATAAAGGGATTCAAAAGATCATAGAGATTCAGCAAACTTAAAAATAGGAAAATATAAATTGTTAATATAAAAAAGAATGAGGGAGAGTGAACAGAGCTTTTTGGAACTGTAGCACACCAACAATTTGGGAATCCCTGAAGAGGAAGAGAAAGAAAGGGGCAGAAAAAACATTTGAAGACATTAATGGCTGAAAAGTCTCCAAATTTGATGAAAAACATGAATTTGCAAATCCAGCAAGACTTCACCATGAATGAACTCTTAAGTAGGAGAACCGCAAAGAGACCCACACTGAGACACATAATCAAATATCAAAAGCCAAAGAGAGATAATCTTGAAAATAGTGAGAGAGAAGCAACTCCTCTCATGCAAGGGATCCTCACTGTGGACATTCATATCCCAGATGACTTCACCCTTGCCCAGAAGCTCACTGCTGGAGATGAGATTGCCCCAGCCCAAGATTTTGCCATTGTAGATGACTTTACCTCTTGTGCCAGGGGCAACTTCATCCCTGATATGAAAACCTCTGCCCCAGTGGTGCCTGTGGACTGCCTCTCCTAAGGTATGCATTAGACATGGGACATTGCTGCTTTTTTCTCTTGGATGTTAAATATTCTGCTATGTTTCTGAGCTTGCTGTCTGCCTAACTCATGATTCTGGTATATTCCTTGCTCTCTGCCAAAATGTATACCCTACACTTCCATGTCCAATAGGAAATCTAGTAGAGGTTACTATCTATGCCATTCTAAAAATTAGTGGAAATTATTGTTTTCCTCAGGAGATATCTGCTTCAAATCAGTCAACCCCTTCTCCCCCAGGAAAGAGTACCATTTACTCTCCGATGCCTTCTTCTGCTATCACCCTACATGTCCTATTATAATCTCCTTCCCCTTGATCACACAGAAATACTACTAACCTTTACATATACCTTACTATTATTTCATACCCTCCAATATTACAACTGCCAAACATGTCACTTTGACTGAACATGTTTCTAATGCCCTTAATAACACTACCAAGATATTGTTAGTGACCCTAAAGATTTCAGACCTACTGTCTTGGCTAATATCATAAATAAAACCTCCCAAAGCCCCATTTGCTTAAATCCACCACCTGCCTTCATTCCTCACCAGGGATGGTGACATGTCATGACCAAGTCACCCCTATGGGCTTACCACTTGTGCCCAGGAGCCAACCACCAGTGGCCAATTCCCCACCCTGAGGCCTTCACGCTCCTTACAGTAATAGTCTGATGGGTACAGTATACTCTGAATAATGGCACATTTGGGTTTTATTGTGGCTAGAAGTCACAGGCACAGCACCTTATGTATTTTTCCTTGCTGATGCCCCTGCACGTTTTCCCTAATAAAATCTGGTAAACGGTGATTATGCTGGGGATTGCCATGGGTCTCTGTCCCTGGGTACCTCCCTGTTTCCATTAACCCGGAGGCATAAAGCAAAATGGGCACTGTTTATCCCTATCTTAATAGGACCTGCCAGAGGCACAGGAGCCACCACTGCTGGCACCGGTACAGCAGCCTTTGTCAAATAAGACCAAAGCATAAATGCTAAGCAGAGTCATTAGGTAGCCCTTTCAGATCATATTCAAAGGCTGCACAAAATACTGTCCTTAATACAACAAGTCCATGAGTCTCTAGCTCAAATGGCAACAGGTAACAGGCTGACTGTTAGCCAGGGAAGGAGGAGTTTGTGCCATGCAGGATACCTCCTGCTGTAGGTACATTAATATCTCTGGACAGGTACAGGCCAACTATGAGGAACAGGTCAAGTGGTAAAGGTTTTTCATGACTTGGCTGAATATTCCAACAGATACCCTTAAATCCAGAGGTGCCTGGCCCATTCTCTTGGCTTTCTTCCACAAAGTGGGATGCCTTGTTACAAACTGGATACCAAACCCTCATCATATGCCTAACAGGACTCCTCTGAACTGCTACCTTTATTAAAGTTTACCTTCAGTAGCTAAGCCATGCTGTCCCAGGTACCTTTAACATTTCCACAACCCAGGTGGCAAGTGTTATCCATCTGATTAGTATTGTAATAATGTTAGGGCACCACAGCACAAACGTTAATGTAAATTTTAAAGCTCTGTATTTTCCTGCTGCCTCGATATCCCCACAAACAGGCTGTGAGCTCTGAGCAAGCTATACTAGTCTGATTACGCTGGCCCTGCCACAAGTTCTCTTGTGCTGTTTGTGTACTCCATCCTGGCTGCCAATAACGGCACTTCCCCATCTTCATTCTCTCTCAGCTCCCTAACAGCTTAGTTGGGCCAGCTTCTTTGATGCTTTCTCTGTGCCCCCTTGGCTCCTTTGGTGTGCAATGACTGTCTCTCTAGGACTTGTAAGTATAATAAACTTTGTTCTGCTACAAGCCTCTCCTATGTTTCCTCCTGTGCCTATACCTGACTGACAGTCCTATGAGCACACAATTTAAATAGTTCTAACAACAGAGGAATCATGCAAAATATTCAATCCAAAGGCAGAAGTGGGGAGGGGGGAGAAAATAAAGAGAACAGATTAAATAAAGAGAAAACGAATAGCAAAATGATAAACTGAAACCCAGCAATATAATCACACTAAATTAAATGTGGTTTAGCAAAGATTTTCAAAGTAGATAAAAATGCAAGATCCAGTAATGTTTCCTACAAGAAAACCATTTTAAATATAACTACAAAAATTATTTAAAAATCAAAAGACACAGATACACCATTCTAACAGTAAGCAAAAGAGCACTAGAGAGGCTGTATTAATATCATACAAAATTAACTTCAGAACAAAGACTATTACCTAAATATTTATGTACCTAATAAAAGAACTAAAAAATGACAGACATTCAAAGAGAAATAGACAAATCCATAATTACAGTATTTTTTTCTTAAAGAAAACACCATTCTCTACATAAGTGACAGGACAAGCAGAAAATCAGGACTCAAGACATGAGGAACACTCAACCATATTGACTTACTTGACATTTATAGAACACTCTACCAAGATCAGAGTGCACATTATTTTTAGTAATAATGTGTAAACATTCTTCCAAGATAGACCACATTCTGGGTCATAAAACAAACCTCAATAAACAGAAAAGGGTTCAGGTCATGCAAAGTATGCTTTTAGACCATAATCAAATTTCATACATCAAAGAAGAAATCACAAGGGAAATTAAAAATTATTAAAACTGATTGAAAATTATGTCAAAATTGGCCGGGCGCGGAGGCTCACGAGGTGAAGAGATTGAGACCATCCTGGTCAACACGGTGAAACCCCATCTCTACTAAAAATACAAAAACTTAGCTGGGCATGGTGGCGTGTGCCTGTAATCCCAGCTACTCGGGAGGCTGAGGCAGAAGAATTGCCTGATCCGAGGAGGTGGAGGTTGCAGTGAGCTGAGATCGCGCCATTGCACTCCAGCCTGGGTAACAAGAGTGAAACTCCGTCTCAAAAAAAAAAAAAGAAAATTATGTCAAAATTTATGGAAACCTACTAACCCAGTATTTAGAGTGAAATCTATAGTATTAAAGGCCTATATTAGAAGAAAAGGTCTCAAATTAATGACCTCAGCTTTAGAAGGTTGAGAAATTCTGACCCAAGTATAAAACATACAACTATTAAATTTTTAGAAAAAAGTCTTTTGTGTATCTGCTAAAGCCATCCCATGACTTGACATAGCAATTAGAATTAAATTGGAATTTTATGGTACCCTATCTATACATATGGCCCTGCTACTCCACTCCATCATTAATTTCTATTCTGTCAAACCACCCTGGCACTGAGCTGTATCCACCAACAGACCAAGCTCTTGACACTCTTGAGGTATTGGATATGTGGTTCTCTCTTCTGGGCTCCTGAATGTTTCCTGAGTCTGCATGTCACCTAACATACTGTTGGTTCATTTCCCATATGTTAATTTTTTATTTTTTAATTTTTTATTGGATTTTAGGTTTTGGGGTACATGAGCAGAGCATGCAAGACAGTTGCGTAGGTACGCACATGGCAGTGTGCTTTGCTTTGCTTCTCCCCTTCACCCACATTTGGCATTTCTCCCCAGGCTATCCCTCCCCAAATGTTAATATTTTAATGTCCACCTTCCTACCCTTAGAGAGAGTAACGCAACTCCATGGAGAAGTGGCATGGCCAAGGTCACCCAATGGGTCATGTAAACCTAAATTATCTGAAATCCCAATCCATCATCTAGGCTCTTAGCCACGAGGCTCAAGTATAGGTGCAGCCACAACTACAGCAGAGGTGGCAACTGTGAGGGAGAATGGGGTCTTCAGCTCTCTGTTATAACTCCAAAATCAGTACTTGGAGGTTTTTGCATTTTTGCAGTTATTTGCAGACATGAACAGAGTGATGAAGAAAATGAGTCAGCAAGCCTGCATGTTACTAGCTGAGATCAAAGGTGACGCTTACTTTCTTGTTTCAGCATTTATAATGTATCATTTTCAGTCTATTTAGTGACATGTTTTTGGATGTTTTTGATTTTTATTGGGGATAATTTTGCTATGTAAAATGGCCCCCAAGCAGTGTTCAAATGCTGTCTAGTGTCCCTAAATACAAAAAGGCTGTGATGTGACTTAAAGAGAAAATGTGTGTTAAATAACATTCATTCAGGCCAGGCGCGGTGGCTCAAGCCTGTAATCCCAGCATTGTGGGAGGCCGAGGCAGGTGGATCACTTCAGGTCAGGAGTTTGAGACCAGCCTAGCCAACATGGTGAAACCCTGCCTCTACTAAAAATACAAAAATTAGCCAGGTGTGCTGGTAGGCGCCTGTAATCCCAGCTACTTGGGAGGCTGAGTCAGGACAATCGCTTGAACCTGGGAGGCAGAGGTTGCAGTGAGCCGAGATTGCACCATTGCACTCCAGCCTGGGCAACAAGAGTGAAACTCCATCTCAAATAAAAAAAATAAGATGCATTCAGTCATGAGTTATACTTCTAATGTAATTATAATTAAGAAACAAAACACTGATAAGGTGCCTTTAAACAAACAAACACACACCCATAGAAGGTTGTGTGTTGACTAGTTGATAAAAATGTTTGAATCAGAGGCTCACAGAAGCTAACCCTGTATTTCCCCTAGCAACAATCATTCAGCATTCACTACTTCAGTGTGCACAAAAAATTCACAGAACCTAACTACCATGAATAACAATTCACTGCATATAAATACATGTGTGTGCATGTACACGTGTTAAGTATTTCATGACTCAAGCCTTTATATTTCTCACAAACACGCTACCTCAAGGGTAGAGACGACAGTTTCGGAACAATAAACACTTCTAATAAATGTTGGCAGAGCTGCCCTCACAATTCTCCTGGCTCTGGAGACATATATACATATATATTGTCAGGCCTCCATGTACAAGCCCGGATTCAGAAAGTCTGAAGTCCTGCCTGCCTCGGCTGATCATCCCCTGACCCCTGCCTACGTTTACCATTATCCCTGATAGCCCAGTGGAGCTTCTCCCAGTTAAGATGGTTCACCTCACACTGCCATCTTAACTGTTATTATGATAATGCAAATACTTCTCACCCCAACCTGCCATTTTAACTGTTATGATAATGTGAATACTCCTCACCCCACCCTACCATCTTAACTACTTTTACCTCACCCACCATTGTAATTGAACTTATGGTAAGGTATACTCCTTGCCCCTACCCACACCACTGTAACTGATCTCACTCTGTAACTTTTCACTGCCCACCCCAAACCTATAAAACCAACTCCTATCCCACTGCCCTTCATGACACCCTTTTCAGCCTCAGCCCAGGCTGTTTATCCAGGTGAATAAACAGCCATGTTGCTCACACAAAGCCTGTTTTGAGGGTCTCTTAATCCAAAGCGTGTGTCTTAGTATGTGTGTGTGTGTGTGTGTGTGTATATATATATATGTAAAACATACAAAGGGGATGAGACATTCCCTGCTCCATCCCCTAACCTGCCAAATGATGAACTATCATAAACAGGGAAACTGAAAACAAGTTTGCACTTCTTTTTCTTTTCTCTTACAGATTGTTTACGCCATCTGTCATTATTTTAAAATATGCTTGAGATGGATTTGTAGTATTAATAAGAGGAACATTGTTGCTGACATTTTACGTAAATGCATGTTAACTACCAGGTCTCTTCCCTCAATTATTCTCAGGTTACAGTGTAAGGCTCTAAACTGGGTCAATCTTTAACATAATTCTTTGAATGACAAGTGATTACCTGCTATAAAAACATTTCACAGGGACAATTATGTTTCTCATTAGTATGAATTTTCAGATCTTAAGATGTTTCTCTGGCCAAAAGATTTTCCTCAAGTTATATTCAAAAGGAAAGGTATGTTACTACTATGAGTTCACTAAAGATGAACACACTTGTAAAAGACCTTCCTATATCTTTTAAACTCTGCTATGAATCTTTCGATGGTGAGTGAACGATGAACTGTGGCTGAAGGTCTTTCCACATTCACTGCATTCAAAGGGTTTCTCTCCAGTGTGAGTTCGCATGTGCTGAGTTAAAGCAAAGTTGTTGCAAAAGGCTTTCTCACATTCTTGGCATTCAAAGGGTTTTTCTCCAGTGTGGATCCTATTATGCCGAACAAAATTTGCAGGTTGGGTAAAAGCCTTTCCACATTCTCTACAAACATAGGGCTTCTCTCCAGTGTGAATCCTCATGTGTCGCGTGAAGGAAGAGAGATAGTAAAAGGCTTTTGCACATTCTTTACACTCCAAGGGTTTTTGTCCACTGTGGGTCCTGTTATGTCGAATAAAAACAGAGTGGTGTGTAAAGGCCTTTCCACATTCACTGCACTCATAAGGCTTCTCACCAGTGTGAATCCTCATGTGCTGAATTAAGGAAGAGCTGTCACAAAAGGCCTTCCCACATTCTTTGCACTCAAAGGGCTTCTCTCCAGTATGGGTCCTCTTATGTCTGATGAAAGTAGAGCGATGAGTAAAGGCCTTTCCACATTCACCGCATTCATAGGGTTTCTCTCCAGTATGAATCCTCATGTGCTGAGTGAAGGATGAATTGAGGCAAAAGGCTTTTCCACACTCTTTACATAAAAATGGTTTTTCTCCTGTGTGGGTCATGCTGTGCTGGATAAACGTGGAGCGGTGTGTAAAGGCCTTTCCACATTCACTGCACTTATAGAGTTTCTTTCCAGTATGAATCCTCATGTGCTGAGCAAATGAAGAGCTGTAGTAAAAAGCTTTGCCACATTCTTTGCATAAAAAGGGCTTTTCTTGAGTGTGAGTCATATTATGCTGGATAAAAGAAGAGCGGTGGGTGAACGCTTTGCCACATTCTTTGCACTCGTAGGGCTTATCTCCAGTGTGAATACGCTGGTGCTCTGTGAGGTGAAACCTGCGTTTGAAGGCTTTCCCACACTCAATACACTTATATGGTTTTTCCCCAGTATGAAGCCTCATATGACGAATGACATCGGCCATGTAACGACAGGCTTTCCCACACTCACTGCACTCATAGGGCTTTACCCCAGCATGAATCTGTTGATGCCGAACAAGGGCCCACTTCTTGCTAAACCCTTTCCCACATTCCGTGCATGTGTAAGCATTATTCCTTCTATCAATCATGGGATCTTTTCCTGGTCCTTGAGTGTCACGTTCATGAAGAACATCTTGTGGAGTGACTTGTTCCTGTAAAACCCTTAAACCCAGACTATCAGCTGGCTCCAAATCATCATGTTTATAGCTCAACTTCCCAGGGCATATCTGTTTGTGGGGGTCTGTTCCTGGCCTCAAGTTCCCTTCCTGAATTTCTTTAAGCTTTTCCTCATCTCTAGCTTGCCCCAACCTGGAATTCCTTGAGGATCTCTGTGCCAGCAGTCCTTGGAAAGAGGATTCCTCAGAGAAGGCCAGCTGAGAAGCAGTAGGTTCTGTAGTCTTGGGTTTTGCTTTTTCACCTGAAGGAAATCCAATATTAAAGAATAAAAGAACATTAGTGATGTCACCATAGAACAAACCACTTTAGCAGAATGAAGGTGAAAACCATCTCTAATACCTACTGCATTTTTTACATCTCTCAAAACCAGGCTTGCAATGTCTTTCCTAATTCTTGGGCTCTTGACATCTTCAAAAGGAAACCCAGAAGGAAAAGCAAGGGCAGGGGACAGAGAATCTGGAATGGAGGCTGTTCCTCACTCTTTCAAATGAGGGAGAGTGGGCAGACTAATAATTACAATGTGTGTGATAAATGTGCTCTGACAGAGGCAGTCTCATGGCACTATGACAGTGCAGGGAAGGTAAACTTAACATGGCCCAGATGAGAGACAGAGATGGATCAGTAGATCTCTTGGATCACAGCACCAAAAAAAGGTGCTATGTGAGCTTTCTTTAAAAAGGAGAGTAGGGCAGGGCATGGTGGCTCACGCCTGTAATCCCAGCACTTTGGGAGGCCAAGGTGGATCATGAGGTCAGGAGTTTGAGACTTGCCTGACCAACATGGTGAAACCTTGTCTCTACTAAAAAATACAAAAATTAGCTGGGTGTGGTGGCACACACCTGTAATCCCACCTACTCAGGAGGCTGAGGGAGAAGAATTGCTTGAACCCAGGTGGCGGAGGTTTCAGTGAGCCGAGATAGTGCCACTGCACTCCAGCCTGGGCGACAGAGTGACACTCTGTCTCAAAAAACAAAAAACAAATGGAGAGTAGGAGTTCCCAGACAGAGTAATTTGGAGGGAAACTTCAGCAGATGAAAACAGGATGTACAAGGGTTGAGAGTCTTGAGAGAATGCTGATTGCTGAATAATGTGAATGGGATGAGACAATGATGGAGATGAAGATGGAAAGGCAGAGGCGTAACAGATTCTCAGGATTCTCAGTTGTGTAAAAGTGAGGAGGGTGGAGGGTCAGAAGCAGCTGGACAAACATAATGAGTTCACTGTATCTGAATAAAGAGTAAGCAAACATACAGAAAATACGTAAGATCTACATGAAGAAAATTATAAAACTTAACACATTAAAGAAAATCTATATGAAAAGAGATTAATCAATATAAAGTTGTCAATTATCCCTAAAGTCCCAATAGGGTTTTTCATAGATATTGATAAGCTGACTGTGGATGGAGATCAGTCAGCTGATACAGAGACCAGGATAACTCTGAAGAATAAAGCAGGGGACTTACCCCATTAGGAATTAATAATATGATGAAATTATATGCATTCAGGCAGTGTGATTAGGCACAGATTTAAGACAAATGGTGAAAGGGAAAAATGAAATAGAGAACTCAGAAATGTATATATGTAACTTTGATATATGATAGAAGCAGCAGAGAAGGCCACTGGGAAAAGGAGGAGCCTTCAGTAAATGGATCTAGAAAAATTATTCGCCACATAAGAAAAAATGAAATAATATTCTTACCTCATACCACATACAGAATTACCTCCAGACTGATTAAGATTTAACTGTCAGAAGCCAAACATTAAAAACATTTAGTATATAATAAAAATGAATCTTTTGAGAAAGATTTCCTAAACAAGATATAAAGCATTAATAATGACAAGAGTAGTTAATTTGACTATAGTAAATATGATAAAGAAAAAAGCAAACAAACAAAAATGCTAATATTAGTATCAGATAGAAGACTAGAGACCAGAGAAAATGAGACACAGAGGGGCATCACAAGATGAAGAGAAGACCACAGCACCAGAAGACAAAAGAATCCTAAATCTGTACATGCCCAACACCAGAGCCTCAAAATACATGATCCAAAAATTGAGTTGAAAGGAGAAACAAATGCACAATTATGGTTGGGAACTTCACTCTATCCAAAAATGAAAAATGAACATATTATGCACTGATATTTTACGGAAGATATACATTGACCAATCAACATAAGAAGTGTTCAACTTTCTTGGTAATGGGGAAAAATCAAATTAGGACCATAGAGACATGCCATTTTATACTCACTAGGCTGAAAAAACTAAAGAAGCTAACAATATCAAGTATTAAAGACAATGTTGTTTTATGAAATTGTTCAGATAAGACAAAGGAAGTGAAATGTGTATAACCATTTTAGGAAACAACAGAGCATCATCTAGTAAAATTCTCCTTTCGCTTACCTTATAATCCAGAAATGCCAGTCCAAGGAACCTTACTATGAGAAACTCCTACATATGAGTCTCAGGACAGATAAATATGAATTTATGGCCACACTGTTTGTGAGAACAAAAAACTATAAGCAAACATTTTCAAGCTCTCTCTGAAAATGGATAAATACGCTGTGTTATAGTCACGCAATTGATTACAGCAGGAAGAAAATGAGTGAATTATAGCTATCTGCATCAGGAATGTTAGTAACTTACTGTTGAATGAGTGAAACCTCAGAAGACAATATAAACCATAATACACTTTTTATAATGATCAAAAAAAAAAAGCAAAATACATGAAAATACAATGTAACAACCTTTTATTTTTTTTTGAGGTTTATCAGTTTTAAATGGCATTATAAAAAGATATGTAGATATGTTAAATTTATTTTTCTGACTTTTTTATTGGGATAAAATATAAAATTTACCATTTTAAGATGAAACAGTCTTAAAAAGTAGCATGAAGACAAAGCTAAGCATTTTGGAAGGCCAAGACAGGCAGATCACTGAAGGGTGGGAGATCGAGACAAGTCCGGCCAATATGGTGAAACCCTGTCTCTACTAAAAATACAAAAATCAGCCAGGCCTGATGGTGGGTGCCTGTAATCCAAGCTACTCGGGAGGCTGAGGCAGGAGAATCCCTTGAATCCGGGAGGCAGAGGTTGCAGCAGGCCAAGATCAAACTACTGCCCTCCAGCCTGGGCAACAGAGCAAGGTTCCATCTCAAAATTAAAAAAAAAAAAAGTCCTGCAGAGGATCATAGTTAACTTCATGGTCTCTGAAGACAAACACCTCAGTGTGAAATTCTACCAATACTCCACACTAGTTCTGTGGCCTTTATTGCCTTTTCTTTGAAAGGACTGTGGTAAGGATGAAGCAAAATAGCACATATACAGTGCTTAGTAAGGCACCAGGAACCACGTTGGCAAACAACATATTAGCTATTGAGTCAATAGTATGAGACCTACCACACTTGTGTTGAGTTGACAGTATAAACATAAATGAGTACCCCCAGGGGAAGCATAAATAGAAAGGTCTGTGAGATGCCTGTTGAAGCCAATGTTGGAGAAGTGATCAGAGTGAAAAGACAAGTGAAGGTCATCAGAAGAGGAAAAAGAAAACAAGTGGGCAAAACGCTATAAAAGATTAAGTATGATAATGTGGGAAGAGTTTCTGCTGAGTTGAGACACAGTAGAGCATCATGGTTAAGAGCTGGGTACAGAGCCAGAATACTTGAGTTCCAATTCCACTTCTGTCCAGGAGCAGTGGCTACCGCCTGTAATCCCAGCACATCGGGAGGCCGAAGTGGGTGGATCACTTGATGCCAGGAGTTCGAGACAAGACTAGCCAACATGGTGAAATCCCATCTCTACTAAAAATACAAATATTAGCTGGGCATGGTGGCGTGCACCTGTAATCCCAGCTACCTGGGAGTCCGAGGGAGGAGAATCGCTTGAAACTGGGAGGTGGAAGTTGCAGTGAGCCAAGATGGCACCACTGCACTCCAGCCTGGATGACAGAGCAAGACTCTGTTTCAAAACAACAACAACAACAACAAATTCTACCTCTGCCAAGCTAGATGTCCTTGGCAAATTAGATTTTTGTTATCGACCAAAAGTTTGTGTTTCCTTAAAAGGGAGGGCTGTTATAAAAGTAATTATGGTGCAGTGAGGTCATAAGGATAGGGCTGAGAACTGTCAGGACTGGCACCCTTGCAAGAGACACCAGAGAGCTTCCACTGTGTGTGAAGGCATGGAGGGAAGGCCATGTGAGCACAAAGTGAGAAGGCAGCTGTCTGTAGGCTGGGAAAACAGCCCTTACCAGAACCCAGCCGTGCTGGTACCCTGACCTTGTTCTTGTAGCCTCTAGACCTGACAGAAAATACCTTTCTGCTGTATAAGCCATAAAGTCTATAGCATTTTATTACAGTAGCCAGCCAGACTAACACACTTTTCTAAGGTTCACGTTTCTCATCTGAAAGACTGGGATACTCTCAGTTCCTGCCTACAAGTTGTTAGGAGAAAAAGCATGTAAAATGTTCATTTGTGGCCAGGTATGGTGGCTCACATCTGTAATCCCAGCACTTTGGGAAGCTGAGATGGGCAGATCACTTGAGGCCAGGAGTTACCAGCCTGGCCAACATAGCAAAACCTCTTCTCTACTAAAAACACAGATTCAGCTAGGTGTGGTGGTATGCACCCATAATCCCAGTTACTCAGGAGGCTGAGGCATGAAAATCACTTGAACCCAGGAATTAGAGGCTGCTGAGATTGTACCACTGCATACTAGCCTGGGAGACAAAGTGAAACCCTATCTCAAAGAGTAAAGGGAAAGATACCAACTGCTCGGGTGTATGTGGAACAATGAAGACTTTCATATGTAGCTGGTAGAAACATGAAATGTACAGTTACCCTGAAGCTGGTGGTTTCGATTAAAGCTAATCATGTGCCCACACATGATCTGGCCAGTCCACTTGTGTGTATATTCCCAACAGAAATATGGGTTTATATCCAACAAAAAATACAATCAAGAATACTCCTAAGAGTAGTCTTCCCTTTCAGCTCCGACCCCGGACTCTACAGTCGTCGCAATGTTGATGCCTAAGAAGAACCGGATTGCCATTTATGAGCTCCTTTTTAAGGAGGGAGTCATGGTGGCCAAGAAGGATGTCCACATGCCTAAGTACCCAGAGCTGGCGGACAAGAACGTGCCCAACCTTCATGTCATGAAGGCCATGCAGTCTCTCAAATCCCGAGGCTATGTGAAGGAACAGTTTGCCTGGAGACATTTCTACTGGTACCTTACCAGTGAGGGTATCCAGTATCTCCGTGATTACCTCCATCTGCCCCCAGAGATCGTGCCTGCCACCCTACGCCGCAGCCGTCCACAGACAGGCAGGCCTCGGCCTAAAGGTCTGGAAGGTGAGCGACCTGCAAGACTGACAAGAGGGGAAGCTGACAGAGATACCTACAGACGGAGTGCTGTGCCACCTGGTGCTGACAAGAAAGCCGAGGCGGGGGCTGGGTCAGCAACCGAATTCCAGTTTAGAGGCGGATTTGGTCGTGGACGTGGTCAGCCACCTCAGTAAAATTGGAGAGGATTATTTTGCATTGAATAAACTTACAGCTAAAAAAAAAAAAAAAAAAAAAGAGTAGTCTTCATAATATTCCAAAAATGGAGACCAAGTCAAATATCCATCAATAGGAAAATGGGTATATGTAGTCTATTCATTCAATGATGGTAATAAACTAACTCCAATTATATGCAGCCACATGAATGAATCTGAGTCATAAAGATTATCAAAAGAACTTGGCAGAGTATGTACTGGGGGGTTCTATTTACATGCCTTAAAAACTAATGTATGGTGATAGAGTCTAAACACTGGCTAATTTTGTAGAAGAGGATATTGACAAGGAATGAGCACAAGGAGCCTGTTAAGTGGTGAAAACACTGTATTTCTTGACCTGTGAGGTGGTTTGTCTGATTTGCACATATACAAAATTTTATAGAAATGAACCTTTATGATTTGTACACTTATGTGTAAATTGCACCTCAGTACAAAAATAAGGGAAAAAATAAATAAAGGAAGGTCGTGTGTAGATGTCTCTTCCAAGAATGAGAAGACTCCTCCAACAAGCTTGGTTGTTCAGGTGAAACAGAGTCAACAATATTTAGATGCTGCTGGTGAGGTAAGAGCATTAAAAAAAAAAGTCTCGGCTGGGCATGGTGGCTCACGCCTATAATCCCAGCACTTTGGGAGGCCGAGGCGGGTGGATCACGAGGTCAAGAGATCGAGACCATCCTGGTCAACATGGTGAAACCCTGTCTCTACTAAAAATACAAAAATTAGCTGGGCATGGTGGTGCGCACCTGTGGTCCCAGCTACTCAGGAGGCTGAGGCAGAAGAATTGCTTGAACCCAGAAGGTGGAGGTTGCGGTGAGCCGAGATCGTGCCATTGCACTGCAGTCTGGGTAACAACAGCGAAACTCTGTCTCAAAAAAAAAAAAAAGAATAGAATATGGCAAAGATGATGGTATATACATGATAAAATAAACGTAATTTTAGGCCGGGCACGGTGGCTCAAGCCTGTAATCCCAGCACTTTGGGAGGCCGAGGCGGGTGGATCATGAGGTCAAGAGATCCAGACCATCCTGGTCAACATGGTGAAAACCCCGTCTCTACTAAAAATACAAAAAAAATTAGCTGGGCATGGTGGCGCGTGCCTGTAATCCCAGCTACTCAGGAGGCTGAGTCAGGAGAATTGCCTGAACCCAGGAGGTGGAGGTTGCGATGAGCCGAGATCGCGCCGCTGCACTCCAGCCTGGGTAACAACAGGGAAACTCCATTTCAAAAAAAAACCAGGTAATTTTCTAAGACTGTAGCATCTGTCTTGCTGGAGTCTCCCACAGTGGCTTGATTTGAAGAAGTGAGCTGACTGTGATGATGAGCTATTAGCTGCCTATGACAGGCTTGAGAGGACCCGACTAAGCTGTGCCTGGACTCCCAATCCATAATAAATGAGTGATGTTTTCAGCTACAGTGTTTGTGGTAATATTGTTACATTTTAATAGCAGTAGATGGCTAGTACACCTGAGAAGGCAGAAGGTGTGATCTAGATTCTATTGGAGAAATTAGCCATGGCCAGGAAGAAAACTCCTCCACAGAAGTGAGAAGGAAGCTGCAGGGATGATGAGTCAGATGCACATGAATCAGTAAATGTCAAAAAGCAAGAAAATCAGCCAACAAAAACGATGAGTTCGTGTCCTTTGTAGGGACACGGATGAACCTGGAGACCATCATTCTCAGCAAACTGACACAAGAACAGAAAATGAAATACCACATGTTTCACTCATAGGCAGGTGTTGAACAATGAGAACACATGGACACAGGGAGGGGAGCACTACACACTGGGGTCTGTTGGGGGGAATAGGGGAGGGACAGTGCGGGGTGGGGAGTTGGGGAGAGATAGCATGGGGAGAAATGCCAGATACAGGTGAAGGGGAGGAAGGCAGCAAATCACACCACTGCATGTGTACCTATGCAACTATCTTGCATATTCTTCACATATACCCCAAAACCTAAAATGCAATTAAAATAAGCAAGAAAACCAAGGGTGTAGCCTTTATTCATAAAGTAGGTTAGATGTTCTGACATCAGTGGCAAGGGGGGTGGTGATACTTGGAACATGTAAGTGGATGCAGATATTATACACAAGGCCGACCAGAGGCACAGGACACATGTGGGGAAAACAGGGAGGAATCTGTTAGCATTACGCAGGCAAGAGATGATAATCACTTGGCCTAGAGTACTAATGTTGGAGCTGATGGAACTGGTGAAGGTGATGGATTCAGGAGACATGAGTGATGTAAAATGGTCAAGATTCAGGGATGGTTGGATATTGGGTATTAGGGAGATGGAGGTGCTGAGGGGTTGTCCATGTTTGTTTTTAGCTTTCTCTACTCACTGTAAGGGCCATTAGCTGAAAATGGGGAGATTATGTGATCCTTTTGAGGCATGATGAGTGTGAGGTGCTTCTAAGACATTCAAGTGAAGACATGGAACTGGGGAGAGGAGTGAAAGCTGGCTCAGCAGACAAGAAGGACGCTAGACGGGCGAAAAGGCGAATCTGCAGTGTCACAAATCCACCTGCTTAGTGGCTTTGGCTTCCCGTGGCAGCCCAGTTGTGAGACTGACAAAGGCAATTGTCACTTTGAGGTTTTATAAGACAGGAAGACCAGAAAACAACAGGAATAGGGAGTGCTTCTGCGCATTTGATACACAAATGAAAGGACGGATGGATGGATCAATAAATGACAGGCTGGAGAAGGTGAAAAATGGTGGGATGCAGAGTGTAGTTTGAAACAGGAATCTGCAGGAAAAGAAAGGACTGTCTTCTGAGTGCAGAAGAACGTCTGAGCTGTCACTATTCCTTATGACTAACACTACATGAATATTATAAACAGGTGACTTCCACTGAGCCACTCTGGGTCAGGCAGTGTCCTAGGCAGTCTCCTGTTATGCAATCACATTCCTAAACAACCCAATCATGCAGAAACTATCATCACTACCTTTCAAATGTAGGCTAAGTTTATCAGACAAGTATGTGTTCACTATACCCATGGGCTCTTCTCCTTGGGCATAAAAAAGCTAAACCACATTTCCCAGCCTGATACAACATGTAGCCTAATACCCAGTTCTTGTCAATAAAATGTGAATGGAAGTGACGTGTGTGTGCAAGTGGAAATGACTACTGCCCTTCTCTCCCATTCCTCTTGCCAGGGCAACCTTAAGCTGCATACTGACAACAGAATGCTCCTGATTCCTATATAAGTACAGGGTACAGAGCTTTCCTGCTGACCCACGCTGGACTATGGCATGGATGAAAAAAACAAAACAAAATAAAACTTAATCTTTCAGTCATCAGGATTTTTGAGTTTATTTTTCAGAGAAGGTAATTAACTCAGCCTAACTTATATACCAAAGGCACAGTGACATCAGACAACTTCTCTAGAGTCATGAGGCTAGTGAGTCGCAAATCATTAAAGCCTAGAGTCCGTCTCCTACCTAATATATTCCAACCTGAATAAAGGCAAACAGTGTGTGATAGCAGTGGAAAGATGGGGGACCATGGGGTCAAGGGCTCCATGACTGCCCAAGACCACAATAAAGCTGCCCATGGCATTACAGACACAGTGATGCCCAGGTGGTCTGCAGGCTGCCCTGATACCCACTGCCAGACTGTCAGTCACCAACCTGCACAGGTGCTTTGGGAGAGGCCTCTTTTCTCTGTCCAAGGTTCCTGCCCATGTTCCAGCAGGTAGATCATCTCTGGTTTGGGAACAGGATGCCCTGTGCATGGAGAGATAAATGGAGTATGGTATACAGGTACAGACAGAAAAGTCTGAGGTGTAAAGGAGTATATACCTTTAACATACTGCAGTGGAACCCCAGAAAGGGCCCTCCTGTACCTCACCAAAAGTATTTTCTAATTAATCCAAGTCAGTAGGATTCAACCACCCTGTGCATCAAAACTACCTAGCAACACCCAGTTCCAAAAACAGAACGAATTAAACCAAATCTCTGAGCAGAAGGATTGAGTACTGATAGTTTTTAAAGCTCCCCAGGTGATTTTGTTGCCCACAATGGTTGAAAAACATGGGACTAAATCACCTGATGAATGGCATCTACTGATCATCAGTTGTGTGTGGCAGGCCAGGGACCGAAGCTGAACATGGAGGCCTGCTGCCCTGCAGGGGGACTGGCCAGGGCCCTAGACCAAGGAGAGAAAGCAGACAGAGAGAAAGGGGTTGGCACTGACCAAACCAGGAGCCAGCAGCACCTCAGGGCTTCTCACTAGATGAAGTAATAAATTATTTTCAGGGTGAAACTGGCATGAGGTGGTCTTCTTCCACATACAGTCACACACATTTTGCCAACTGTGAAGGCTAAAAGACAGAAGCCTCTGGAGAAAAGTCAATGACTGAGGCACCAGGACCCAGAAGCATCAGCTGGAAAATCTTGTCCTGGCATGCATCCAGCTGTCACTTAGCAAATGTTCACCATAGGACTACACACACTAAAATGGCACATGCACACCCAGCAAATGTTCTCCCATTGGTGCTGAGCTGGATAATGAGCAGTGTTAAAGGGGAATCAGGCCTGCCTTCATCTCTGTTAAAGAATCAAGCACCCTCCTCCCACAGGGACGTGGTTCGTGTTGATCCCTCCTCCTGGAATGCTGTTCCCCATACATCTCCTTTGGACTGCTAATCACAGTTGTCATAAAAGAACACCGTGTTTACTTCATTAATGACTGATTCCTTGTGAGGACACAGGGCTGGGAGAGCCCTGTCGAAGGTAACCATTTAAACACCTAGAAGAAGCCAGACCTTGGGCCTCCATTAATTCCTACTCAGACCAACGTCTGGGAAAACTGGCCATTAAAGGTTTAGGTAGGAGAGCATTTGGTATTTATTCATATGTTAAATACAACAAACACATGTGGAACACCTGCTATGTTTCCAGTTCTACTCTAAGCACTTTACAAATATTAGTTAACCTGCTGTGACAGGTTACTATAAAAACAGCAAAATCAGGCTGTGCATGGTGGCACACGCCTGTAATCCCAGCACTTTGGCAGGCCGAGATGGGTGGATCACAAGGTCAGGAGATTCAGACCATCCTGGCTAACAAGGTGAAACCCGTCTCTACTAAAAAGATAAAAAATTAGCTCGGTGTGTTGGCACATGCCTGTAGTCCTAGCTACTCAGGAGGCTGAGGCAGGACAACTGCTTGAATCCAGGAGGTGGAGGTTGCAGTGAGCTGAGATTGCACCACTGCACTCCAGCCCGGGTGACAGAGCGAGATTCTGTCTCAAAAAATTAAAAAGGCAAAATCAAAATGATATTAGGTCCCAGCAAGTTCATGCTGCCTGCTCAAGGCTGGGAATTTGAGGTTACTCTTTCTACTGAGGAAGCAATTAGCCACCAGCTACAGGAGTGTTAAAGGCTCAGCTCTAAGCCAACACTCAACATTCAAGAGACAGGAAAAAGAAAAGAAAAAAGGAACAGCTTTCTTAGCATATATCCATGCCATTTGATAATGTGTCTAAGCTGCCTCTATATAATCATCACCTGTAGCAGCAGAGGAGCAAGGCACCAGCCTTAGGAAATAAGGGTTAACTGTACAGGTGCCAGGGGCCAAAGAAACCTTTCAGCTGAGACTGTGTTGCTTAGAAAGATACCAGCAGCACTGATAACAAACACCTTCTTAGTGCCTGTGTCAATCACCCGCTGCTTGCAGAACCTTCCATTATTCACAGAGCCTGCTAACTGGGCTGTGTGGACATCTGACTCAATCAAGCTGGGCCAATTACCTCTTATGGAAATCTGGGATTAGGATGTCAGACTGAGGCCAGCTGTGCTAGACACCAGGATAAAAGTGTTGAGGAGGACTATGTTCCTTATACAATAATCTCTGATGGAGATAGAGGGAAACCCAGCAAGAGGAGGTCAGACCACAATGTGCTGAGGCTGCTTTCTCTGAGGGATCAGAGAAGGTTGGGGCCTGCGGCTTCTGGACTAGCCATGCCTAGAAAGGATGAATTCAAAGAGGCTGTGAGTCCCCTACATGGGAGGGTAATGAGGTCTTACCCAGTGAGATCAGGAGCCTGAAGGTCTCCAGCATCACCTCCTGGTACAGGGTCCTCTGGGCCAGGTCCAGGTGCCCCCATTCCTCTCCAGTGAAGGTCACAACCACGTCTTCAAATGATACTAATGCCTGGGAAGCCAAACAGAGGTGACAGGTGGCTGGGGAGATATTAGAGATGAAATTAGAGCCCATTTCTTGGTTGACAGTAAAGGGTCCAGACCCTGAAACACTGAGCATCTCCTGAGAACCACTGAGCTCTGTGGAGGCAGACGGTGCCTTTGACAGAATATAAGGATGTGGGAGATAAAAGCCTCTTATGTTGGAAGCCACTGGAAAATGATACAAGACAATGATAATCTTTCTTCTCCGCAATGCCAAAAATGCTGCTCCCGCCTCACCTCTTGCCCTCGAGGCTCTCATTCCCTCTCCTAGCTTTTGGTAGGGCTAGACTCCCCCTGGAGTGATCCCCTAAAACAACAGGAGGATCTGGGGAGTCCTTCTCCAAAAACAGCACCCAGAGTGATGCTCTCCGAGCACTGAAGGACAGGACTCACATCAGTCACAAGGGTACCCACTCTAGTTCCCTCAATAGAGAAAATTATTGAGACTCGCATTTTAGACCCTTCTATTTAGGAATAGAAGTTGAGGACAGCCAAGCGACAGCTCAAGGTTAGAGCCAGAAGCAGGGACTTCTCCTTACAACCCCTGTCCTGGATTCAGGCCCCTGGGTTGGAAGTGCTTAGCCCTGCCCCCTCACACACCCTCTTTTGGGATCTCCAGATCCTAGGGCATCAAAACGGAGAAGGGCAGAGTCCCAGGATTCCCCCGTATTACAGCGGATGGGACGGTGCGGGCAGTGACCCAAGCTCCGGCGGGCTGCAGAACCCTCCACTCACCAACGCCGGCGCCGCCATGGGCCCAGGCGACGGAGTGAGGCCTTGAGAGGAGGCGAGGAAGCCGGTCCGCCGGCCGATCCCTGGCTCCGGCTCTGGGTTGCGAGGGACATCAGTCCCTGCCGCCGTGTAAAACGCGTACAAGGTTCGCGGCGCCGCCTCCGTGCGCCGTAGTGACACAGGGCTGGCACCAAGGCCCCAGGAAACGTTTTGCAGACGCTTGTAGGGGTGGGATAGCGGCTGACATAAAAGCATGTGAGTCCTGTCCTTCTCACTGTCCGTCTCTACTCGGCCTGGAAAAGTGTCCCCCGTCCGGCGTTCTAGCCGGTGTAGTGTCGGTAACTACTGCAGCCACTACCGAACCGGGTCTGAAGACTCGACGCCGGAAGTCCCGCCCACGCCGCTACGGGAAACGCCCCTTTGCTCCCTTCGTCTAGGGCCTGGAGCCGGCTTCCGTCCCTTGTAGCACTGCCTTCTGGGTAATGTAGTTTGACGGAATCCGGGTTGTACCTGGAACGCACTTTCTGTTCTCGGTGAACTGCTTCCCAGCGTTCCCAAAAGAGGGAGTGGCTTAGCTTCCTCTTAAAGGAGAGGCACACAGATTTCTCTGGAAATGACCTGAGGCAATCACCCACTCTCAAAGGTCTCTACCAAGTGACCGACACCTTGAGTTTCCTCCCTCTGTACCCCTGCGGCAGCACTTCATCTCTCTGAGCCTTGAGATGGAGATTCCTAAGAAAGGTGATGGTATTTAATATGATAATACTAAAATTTCCCCTATCAGTAATTTTCAGATGACATCAGCATTACCTGGGAATTTGTTACAAATGCAAGTTCTCAGTCCCCACTCCAGATCCCACTGAGGCAGGAGTAGGTACTCTGGGGGTGGGGCCCTGCATTCTGCTTAAGATGTCCAGGAAAAGTAGATGCTCCAAACATTTGAGATCTGGGCTCTTTAAATTTCAGTAAATAAATGAGACAAAGCCACTTGTTTAGTGGGAAGTAACTAAGAACTGCTTAGCACTGGGCCTGGAACATACCGACAAGAACATAAAAGCTAATGATGTTATTATTAAGATTCTGTATCATTGGCAACATCGTTACAATACACTGCTGGCGGAGGGGCTGAGATACTTCTTTGCAGACTCTGATATTTGTCAAAACATAAAATATGTTGACTGATTCAATAGGAGCCTCAGAATAGTGTTTACATTTTTACATAATACTTTGCCCCGTTTGGGGTTGCCACGGCAATGTAAACTGACATGGCACACTGGTGGGTGTGTCTTATGGAAAGCTGCTTCCACTTCATCCCTGTTTTAGCAAGTCCTCAATTTGGTCTAATGTCTGACCCTACCTCTGGAGTTGAGTCTCCTACCTCAAAACCATAAAAGCATTTGAGGAAATTGTCAGGCCCAAGGGTGAGGTGAAGAATTCTCAGACATGATACCAAAGCACAAAGGGGACAAAAACCTGATCAATTTAAAAAACATTTGCTCTGGATATATATAAAATGAAATATTATTCAGCCTTTAAAAAAAGAGGAAATCCTGCCATGTGCAACAATATGGATGAACCCAGGGGGCATTATGCTAATTTAAATGGCCCAGTCACAGAAGAACAAATACTGTATGATCCCACTTATATGAGGTATCTTAAACAGTTAAGCTCATAGAGGCAGAGAGCAGAATGGTGGGTACCAGGTCTGGGAGGAGAACTGGGGAGATACTGAACGGGTACAAAGTTTCAGTACGCAAGGTGAATACTTTCTAGAGCTCTACTGAAGGGTCTCAATCATGGGTCTTAGTTTCCACATTAAGAAATCAGAAAAGTTCCTCTCCAGGGGTCCGCGGAGGGAGCGCAGGCTCGAAGAGCTCCTGGACGCAGAGGCCCTGCCCTTGCCAGACGGCGCAGACATGTCAGAGCAGAGTAAGGATCTGAGCGACCCTAGCTTTGCCGCCGAGGCACCCAGCTCCGAGGCGCAGAGCAGCCCTGGGGTTCCGGGGGGGGGGTTCCTCCGTCCGCGACCCTGGCGGAGCCGCAGAGCCCTCCCCTAGGCCCGACGGCCGCCCCGCAGGCCGCGCCGCCGCCCCAGGCCCGGAGCGACGAGGTCGACCCGAAGGCTTTGCTGGAGGCCGCAGAGGAGGGCCGCGCCCACCAGGCCCCGAGCGCGGCCCAGCCAGGCCCGGCGCCGCCCGCCCCGGCGCAGCTGGTGCAGAAGGCGCACGAGCTCATGTGGTACGTGCTGGTCAAGGACCAGAAGAAGATGATCATCTGGTTTCCAGACATGGTGAAAGATGTCATCGGCAGCTACAAGAAGTGGTGCAGGAGCATCCTGCGGCGCACCAGCCTCATCCTCGCCCGGGTGTTCGGGCTGAACCTGAGGCTGACCAGCCTGCACACCATGGAGTTTGCGCTGGTCAAAGCGCTGGAGCCGGAGGAGCTGGACAGGGTGGCGCTGAGCAACCGCATGCCCATGACGGGCCTCCTGCTCATGATCCTGAGCCTCATCTACGTGAAGGGCCGCGGCGCCAGAGAGAGCGCCGTCTGGAACGTGCTGCGCATCCTGGGGCTGCGGCCCTGGAAGAAGCACTCCACCTTCGGGGACGTGCGAAAGCTCATCACCGAGGAGTTCGTCCAACAGAATTACCTGAAGTACCAGCGCGTCCCGTACGTGGAGCCGCCAGAGTATGAGTTCTTCTGGGGCTCCCGGGCCAGCCGTGAAATCACCAAGATGCAAATCATGGAGTTCCTGGCCAGGGTCTTTAAGAAAGACCCCCAGGCCTGGCCCTCCCGATACAGAGAAGCCCTGGAGGAGGCCAGAGCTCTGCGGGAGGCTAATCCCGCTGCCCACTGCCCCCGCAACAGTGTCTCCGAGGACTAGTAAGGTCTGGAGGCAGATGAAATGCTTTCTGACCCTCACCGGGGCTGTGGAAGGGTGGGGGTGGGTCATTAGAGTGTTCGGGATTTACAGTGCAGTATTCACGTGTAACTTTTAAGTTTTCAGTACAGTGCTTTTATACCTTTAATGCAATGTTGTATTCATTTGGGTACTCTTGTGTAGTATTTAGGATGTATGCATGTTTGTTTATATGTAAGCTTGGTTGGTGCTTTCGCTTTTATGCTACCTTTCTTGGATTTTTGTACCTGAGACATGCTAAACTGACGAAGTACCTTGAGAAAGTTTGCATCTTATTATTTTATATGGGACTGGTGATGTGTGTTGGGGTAGACTGCTCCTGCAGAGTTTGGAAGAACTCACCAGCAAAGCTGGCCTAACCAAGAGAAAAGTCAAGGCCCTTCATGACCTTGCTGGGCACAGAAGACATTCTCGTGGAGTAAACTGATTTGAACTGGACTGGTCTCAATGTGAGCACTTGGCACAATTTACTAAACACATATACAACCCTACCGTGAGTCAACTTTAAAGTAAACATTAAAGATTCTTGTGATACAATAAAAAAAAAAAAAAAAAAAAGAAATCAGAAAAAAAGGCCGGGCGCGGTGGCTCACGCCTATAATCCCAGCACTTTGGGAGGCCGAGGCGGATGGATCACTAGGTCAAGAGATCGAGACCATCCTGGTCAACACGGTGAAATCCCGTCTCTACTAAAAATACAAAATTTAGCTGGGCATGGTGGTGCAGCCTATAGTCCCAGCTACTCGGGAGGCTGAGGCAGGAGAATTGCTTGAACCCAGAAGGCGGAGGTTGCAGTGAGCCGAGATCGCACCATTACACTCCAGCCTGGGTAACTCAGTCTCAAAAAAAAAAAAAAAAAAAAAAAAAAAAAGAAATCAGAAAAAGAAAAGAAACAAATTCAGAAAAAGGATATATTAAAGATCAAAACAGAAATCAATGAAATAAGGAGAAAAAACTTAGAGAAAATCAGTGAAACTAGAAGCTTGAGATCAATGAAATTGATAAACCTAGCAAAGTTTTGTCAAGAAATAGAAAATATACAAATTATCAATATGAGGAATGAGAAAACGTCACTATAGATCCTATAGGTAAAAGTTAATACAGGAATATCATGAACATTTTTATATAGGTTGCTGCAAAATTAACTGAGGGTTTTGCCATTAAAAATTATGGGTGGAGATTTTGGCTTCTCATATTAAGAAGCATGTAAGAATGCAGAATGTATAGGATAAATAATAGAATGGAAATCCGATGACTAAATAAGTGGATTTTGCTAGAAAATGGCTGGGGCTTATCAGTCCTTCTATCTCTTTCTGGTTGCTCTGGAGGACAGCACATCCCAGCTTCTCTTACATGTGGGGCTATTGGAGTGGGCCATGGGAATGAGCAAAAGTGATTGCAACATTGTGTTTTCATTGTTTTCTCATTTCTGCTCCATCCTGAGGTGCCTCTTTGGATATAATGCTTTCACTTTTCACAGTGCCCAGAATTACTGACCTCTTCTGGTGGACTACATGTTTGGGTGGGTGGGCTGACAGTGTCTTGATGAGACAAGATCTGGTGACCTTTAGCTGCTGGGCATAAGCTGTTTACTGAGGCTGGAGCTTTGAATAATTTCTCACATTTGCTGTACTCATAAGGTTTTTTCTCTGGTGTGAACTCTTTGGTGTTTAAAGAGGTCAGAGTAGTGATTGTCAAATTTAACCACTGCTCTAGATAGAAAGGCAGAGTCCCCAGCTCACATCTCTTAGGAGGTGCACTCATAAGGCCTTCATCCAATGCGGATTTGCTGATGCTCAGTAAATCTCACATGCTGTTAAAGGCGTTTCATTTGCTACACAGACTTTTCTTCAGTGTGAACTCAGATGCATATTGGGAGTGGAGGCCTGTCTACAGAATTCCCCATATTCTCTACACCCATAAGGCCTTTTCCCCAGGGCAGACTCTCTGGTGCTGAACAACTGTGAAATTGTGGCTGAAGGCATTTCCAAATTCACTGCACTGGTAATGCCTTTGCAGGAAGAGAAAGGCTGCTGCACATGATATGCTCTTTTGTGGCTCCTCCATGCTAGGAGTGACCTGGTGCTGGAGAAAGCCTGCTGTGGCTAGAAAGTCCCCATCCTCCCTGCATGGGAAAGACTCTTCTGACATGTGGTTGCTTCAGGTCTTCATAAGCAAGATCCTGCCCTACTCCTTTCTGATGGACTTCTCTATCTTCTCTGCACCTGTTGCTGGGGAAGGTTTACACTCACTCATAATTTTCTCCACGTACCACACGTGTATGATTTCTGCCCTGGGTGTGTTACTTGGTATCTAACCAGGTGCAAAGTGTCTTTCAGAGTAGATCACATGGCCAGGTGTGGTGGCTCATGCCTGTAATCCCAGCACTTTGGGAAACTGAGGTGGGAGAATTACTTGAGGTCAGGAATTTGAGGTCAGTCTGGGCAACATGATGGGACCCTGTCTATACAAAAAAAATTGAAAATAAGCTGGGTGTGGTGGTGTGTGCCTGTAATCTCAGCTACTTGGGAGGCTGAGGTGAGAGGATTGCTTGAGCCCAAGAGGTTGAGGCTGCAGCTGTACCACTGCACTCCATCCTTCATGACAGACTGACATCCTGTGCAAGAAAGAGAAGAGGAAGGAAGGGAAGGAAGGAAGGAAGGAAGGGAGGAAGGGAGGAAGGAAGTAAAGGAAAGAAGGTTTGGAATAAGATCTCAGTGTATGGGGAACTGACGCAGGAGACAGAGCGGAACAAAGCCCCAGAGCAGATCTGCAGAGATCAGTTAGGAGTCTGTTAGCATCATGCAGGCAAGAGGTGATGATGTTGTGAACTAGGGTGTTAGTGGTGGAGCTGACCGAGTTGATGCAGATGATG